CTTGGCATTAAGGCTGAAGGTCCTCTCAGGTTGTATTGTGACAATAAAGCTGCCATCAACATTGCCAACAATCCCGTGTAGCATGACRGGAYAAAACATATTGAGATTGATCGACACTTTGTTAGAGAGAGAATTGTCTCGGGTAAACTCTATGTGCCTTATACTCCATCTGAGATGCAAATTGCAGATGTATTGACTAAAGGGCTGGCAATAGCAAAGTTTAGGGACATACTTGGCAAGCTAAACATGTTGATATCCATGCTTAGCTTGAGGGGGAGTGTTGGATTGAAGTCTCTCTATGTACGAGTGTTCGGCTGATAAGAGTTCTTATTAGCATATACTTAAATTTAAGTTATCCTGTACTGGGCCTGTGCTAATGGGCTTAAGTTTGTTTAATGTTTTTAAGTTGTCTAGGTGTCCCATCACTAATCAGGGGCATTCCAGTAATTCCTTGTATCATTGTACTACATTCAAATATAAATAACAGTATTGTCGACTGAGCTATTCAGTTCAACATTCGCAGCATTTCAGAAGTCTTCTTCTCTTCTCTACTACTTCGAATACAGCTCCTAAGCTCACACCTTGGACCATTAAATCTGGACTGGTCCAATTCAATATATCTTTTTGGTCCGCTCAATCTGTCTAAATTGATTTTGATTTGGACGGAGTCCAACCCAAAACCACTCATTGACACCCCAGTTATTACTTTTTAGGCTCCTGGTTCTTAGAAATGTTATGTTGACTTGATCAAAACCCACACCAAATCCAAATTCATATGTTAATACACTTTTTAACCACTAATATTTAGTGTTTTAAGCTACAATGCTACATACAAGGTTTTAAATCATAATTTGGAATTAATTATTTTTTATTTATTTTATGTTCCTTAATATACTAACATACACACATATTTATTAGTCTACCCCAATAGACACCACCTAATAACTTGCTATGCATTGAAATTTACTTTTCACAGAAAACATCCATTGAATTTTCTTAACAGATCTAGATGTCCATCTTTATCTTTTCCAGTGATTTTTCATTCTTCCCATGGCTTTCCTAATCTTCTCAATCGCCCTCGTATTTCATTCAATCATCATCAGAAAACAAAAAGAAAAGAATCATAATTATAAATTCAGTTTGGTAAGGTTAACTAATTTATGAGAGAGAGAGAGAGAGAGATCAATGGACAAATACAAGGAGTAAAGAGTGAAGAAATGGCAAAAATTACCTGCAAAAAAGAAAAGCAAACAACTTATTTCAAAAATTAATTTCCTATACAAGATATGAGATATGTTGCCTAAACTCATTGGCAAGGTGAACTGTCACTACTGCAGACTTTTAATTTTTTTTATTTTTTGGAAGACTGCACAAATTGAACTAGAAGAGTGCAGTTCAAACCCATTTCTCAGAGCCAAAGTAATTAGAGGGAAAGAGGACAACTGACACCAGCTAGTAGATGCTGCTCTGTTCAGCCTTCTGTGGCATAATATCTACATTGATCTGCAAACACTGAGAATTATATACATTAGATGGAATGGCCAGTCAGAAAGGACTTTACCTGCAGTACAATACAGAACTACGCTTATGCTTACAATTTCTAAAAAAGCAATGTAGATAAATAGAATATGGGATTAATCTGCTGGATTTGGACCATCAAGAGGAGGACAAAAACACATATATGAGCGAGTGGAACCCATACTACCATTATTTGCTCCTATTCAGTACAAAGTAGGATTTTCCACTCTTTATGCCCATTCCCACACCAAATTATCTCCAGAACCTCAGAAATACAAAATTTAAATAACATCATCCAAGAGGGTAACACAGACTGTTGATATCCATCATCATCATCTAAGCCTTCCCAACCATAGAGGGTCAGCTACATGAATCTTATTTTGCCATTCCATTCTGTTTAGCGCCATATCCATTCTAAAATTATTTGTCCTTAAATAATTTCTTACTTCTTCAGCCCATGTCCTTGGGTCTGCCACTAGCTCTTTCAGCCTCTTCAACTTGTAACAGATCACTTCTTATTGGTGCAATAGATGGTCCTTCTGTAAGTGACCATCTATTAATATCCATGATCTCACCAAAAAAAAAAAAAACTTGAACCCTCATAGAACATGATGAGCAGCTGTTTGCAAAGAGTTGTGGAATTATCATGTCTAACTGTGTTCCTTTTTCTTTGACTCCCATATTCATAAGTATCAATTAATAACAAGCTAATGGAATGTAGTGAGAATGGGCCGAATGGGCCCTAGTTTTCTTTATTTCTTTTAAGTAGTGTTTAAAAGTTATGTTTCTTAGTTATGGGCCTTCTTTTATTTTCTTTAATTCTGGCCACCCCATTAAGGGCATCCAAGTAGTTGTATTCAGACAGAATTATTAATAAAAGTGATGAAAGGGGGCTAGAGAGAGAGGTTCGAATTCTTCTTTTCTCTCTTCCCTTCTTTTCTTCTTCCACAACCTATTGCTGAAACTTCTTTTCTTCTTTCTCTTTCTCTCTTCTCTTTTTTTCTTGCATTATCTGAATTAATGTAGGTGTAATTTTCAACTTGGAGGGAGTGACATCCTCTTCTCTCTCTTCTCATGTTCCCACGGAAAAAGGAATCTTTGGAGGGAGGGGCTTCTAGGGTTCCGGGAGGGTGTTTGAGGTTTCTAAAGGAGATAAATACCTTTATTTTCATCTCAAATTGATTTCATTATCTATTATGGGAGTTATGGAGGGCTGTAGAGTTGAAAACAAATTTACAGGAGAAATGAGATCTGGGGGAGGAAGTGTTGGAGACCTCTTCGGGGCCAGAACCGTCACTACAATCAAGTTGGATGGTACAAACTACTTAGAATGGTCACAATCTACAAAGATGGCCATTGTTGCTCGTGGGAAATTGGGTTATGTCACCAGTGAGGAAAAGAAACCTAAAACTAACCATTCCCGATGGGTACAGGAGAACTACATGGTGATGACTTGGCCGTGTAATTCCATGTTGCCCCATACAAGTAAGAACTTTTTATGGGCTAACACAACTAAGGAGATTTGGGATGGAGTAACAAAAACCTATTCACAAAATGAGAATGTTGCTAGAGCCTACCAATTGAGAAACCAGGTGATTACTACTAGGCAGGGAGATAAGTCTGCTGCTATTTATTTTCCAGCCCTCGAAACCTTATGGCAGGAGATAGATCATTTGCAGACTGTGGTTTGGGAAAGTAGAAAAGATGCAACAACTTATTAAAAGCTGGTAGAGAAGAATAGGGTTTTCGAGTTTTTAGCTAGACTTAACCCTGAGTATGATATTGCACGACAACATATTCTTTCCCGAGACGGTGTAACTCTCTCTCAGGCATATGCCTTTGTGTCTTGAGAGGAGAGTAGGAGGAATGTGATGATGAGGAACACAAGCCTTGAGTAGTTAGCTATGGCTAGCACAGTGAAGCCTAAGCTGAGAGGGGACAAGGGTGAAAATGAATCGAGGAAGGAGGACAAAAGGGATTTGATCTATGACTATTGTAAGAAACCCAAACATACTAGAGATACCTACTGGAAACTTTACCCACACCTTGTACCGAGCCGACTCAGAAATAGGAAGGGAAATGTGAATATGGAAGTGACTAGTGATTTATTAGGGCCACCTACTATAGCCTCTCTAGAGTTTGTGGCAGTAGTTGCAATGAGGGACAAATTAGAGAGATATGGACAATTTCTGAATCAAAAGGATACAACCAGTTCCAACTCATTATCAGGTGCACAACAAGGTATAGGTGGATCAGGGGGTAGTCATTCTACCTCGTCTGCACACACAGGTAGTTTACATGCCACTACAAATTATGTATCCACACAAGATAAATGCTTCAGAAGGTGAACTAGTGAAGGATGTTGGAAGATATATCAGAGGTTAGTGGGGCGGTTGCTATACCTATGTATGACACGACCAGATATCTCTTATGCAGTGAGTGTAGTGAGCCAATACATGCATGCCCCATGAGTTCAACATTGGGAGGCTATTGACAAGATAGTTTCCTATTTGAAGGGACACCTAGGTAGAGGAATATGCGTTGACCATGGACAGTTGAAGTTAGAGGCTTACACAGATGCTGATTAGGCAGGATGTTTAGATGATAGGAGATCTACATCAGGAGTTTGTACTCTTGTTGGAGGTAATTTAGTTTAATGGAAGAGTAAGAAACAGATAGTTATGGCAAGGTCAAGTGCAGAAGTTGAACATAGAACCATGGCACATGGTGTTTTAGAGCTCCTTTGGATCCATTCCTTGTTAGGGGAGATTGGAGTTGAGGCCAAAGAACCTATCATGGTATATTGTGACAATCAGGCAGCAATTAACATTGCCCACAACCCAGTTTAGCATGATAGGACGAAGCATATAGAAGTGGATAGAGACTTTATAAGGGAAATGGTGACATCCGGAGAAGTTTGCTTGCCATATGTTGCATCTGACTTGCAGCTAGCTGATGTTCTTACAAAAGGAGTTGCAAAAAACAAGCTGGAACATGATTTACGCAAGTTGGGAATGTGTGACATTTATTCCCAACTTGAGGGGGAGTGTTGAGTTTTGGGCTGATATAACATGTTTTTTATTTATAGCATAGTTAGGGAGTTATTGGGCCTTAGGCCTATTAGTTTATGTTTTAAGTTAAGAGTGTTTTTAAGTTCTCACAAGTAACCAACTTACTAAGGGCAGACTTGTCTTTGTACCCTCTTTTATTTATAAGTATATAATCTAATGGAAAGGGTGGTCAGACCTAATTCTAAGCTTCTCCCATTCTCTTCTCTCTTTCTGAGCTGAAACCTTTTCTTCTTTCTTTTTGGCATGATACATCTAATCAAACAAGAACATCTTATTTAAATAATATAAACAGTCATAAGCAACATATAGTTTTCATACAGCCATGTGTCCAAACCAGCAGTTTCTCTCTCTAAGAATACAACAGAGTATTATAGAGCTTTTACTTTCTTTTTTATCACTCTTCTAAGTTCATAGTGCATGTGAATAACATGATAATAATGTCATATTTCGAACTTAGAGCCTTAATTCATAAACTCTATTTAGTTATTTGCACACATTAACAAGGAAACACATGTGGGAGTGAAGAATGAAAAACTAACCTTGAATGGGGCACAATTTTTTGGAGCAGTTCACATACTTTATGCTGCAACATCTAGTGGCTTCTTGCTGGTCTTGATCCCTCTTATAGCTGCATGACAGTAACAACATTTTAGTATGCACATGGACATGCACACCTCTGATTATGATAATCATAAGTAGGAAAGAGGGAAAAATGTGTTTCTATGGAATGTTTGTACAAGGAACAATAGATATACACCTTCAGCATAATCTTTAGCACCAAAAACAGCAGAACCAGCAACCAATGCATTTGCTCCAGCTTCAATAACCTGCCAGAATTGAGCAGGGATCATGGATTCATGGTACATAATATCTCAAAACATGTAACCTAGATACAATAGCATCTGAGCATAAGATATGGAAAAAGATGTTAGATCTGCTGCCTCTTAGAGCCTAACAAGATGATACCAATGTCTGGTGATATAATTGGATAATTTGAACATCAAAATTAGAGTCTTATCCTAAAAATTTGGGGTCTCATTTTTCCTTTTGGAGGGTTGGTTGGACATGAACATGTTACCTCATGGCTGCCAAACTTGTCAAGCAGCATATCAGTCACTGCACTAATGCAATGCAGTTATTCCCATTTCTCTAAAGAAAGATTACATTGTTCTATTCAGGGCAAATCTTCCACTAAAGAAAAACCACACTGGAGACCACAGAGTTTTTAATGGATGGATCACCTTATAGGCATTTGTGGGGCCAACGCCACCATCAACTTCGATCCATGGGTTCACACCCTGAAAAGGTAAAAAAGTGCTAAAATGTCATTCTGTCAATAAGTTCACCGAAGGAGAAACTCATCTTCCTTGTTACTTACCCTCTCAGCACACAATCTCCTCAAGTCAGATATTTTCTTGACTTGACCTTCAATAAAGCTCTGCCCACCAAATCCAGGGTTTACTGACATGATCAACACCAGATCAACCACTGTCCATGTTCAAAGAAAAAAAATGGTCAATTTCATGTCTATTGGCTTAACAAACCTCAAATAACCATCTATTCAGAACATCATTACATCAGGCTATCCATTGACAATTTTCTTTTTTATAATATAAAAAACCATTAGAAGCAAAAGTCCTAACTATTTCACCATCACCTCAGAGGTGCATCTGGAGTCTTATATGATAGGTGAATACCACTCAAATTAAAAGGAAAATTCTATAAAACAGTTGTAAGAGCAGCAATGCTGTATGGATCAGAGTGTTGGGCAATCAAGAAACTACAAGTCCGAAAAATGAGTGTGGCAGAAATGTGTATGCTGAGATGGATGAATGAAAAAACTAGAAGGGATAGGTTTAGAAAAGAAATCATTCTGTGATGAAAGTAGACTAAGATGGTCAATTATCAAAAAAATAAAAAATAAATAAATAGACTAAGGTGGTTTGATCGTGTGCATAGAAGGCCATCTACAGCACCTGTAAGAAGAAATAATCTGTTGAAAATTGAAGGGGCTAGAAGGGCTAGGGGAAGAACAAAAAGGACATGGGTGGAAGTAGTAAGAAATGGTTTAAGTGCTCATAATTTAACAATGGATATGGCGTAAAAGAGAATGGAATGGTGAAACGGGATTCATGTAGATGACCCCATATAGTTGGGAACTTGGGATAGGGCTTAGATGATGATAATGATTTCACTATCTCCCCCCTCATACTTCATCATTTAATAGATTCAACAATGAATCTACCAATATCATTATGAGTTAGTCCTGTATCCAACATCATTTTTAACTCCTTTCTCCCATGGGCTTCCAAATTTCTGTAGTCTTGCTTCTACTTTTCCCATTAGCATTTCATTGCCCCACTGGTGCAGTTCTCTCAAGAAATATTTCATGCTATCTTACTAAATCTTTTATTGCCATTTCAAAAACTCTATATGAGTGTGTTTTCCACTGTTTTGGCAAAAATCAACCATCACAAGTTTATGAAATAGAAAGTCCATGCTTCATAGAAGTTTATGAAATAAATTGTAACAAGATTACATTATGAGTCAACAGTAATACTTAAAATCATTGAAGGGTTATTGAAGGTGCTAAAGAAAGAAATCTTACCATCAAGTACATATTCTACGGCAGATAGTGAGGTAGCTGGATTTAGAACTACTCCGGCTCTAGCTCCCAAACTTTTAACCTAAATAATAAGAACCAGTATATGGTTGTCAAGGATAATGTAATACACTAAGAAACAAAAGTTATTAACACTCCCCCCTCCCCCCCAACACAAGTGCATGTCTCTCTTCTGCAAATAGTCCAAGTCATATAGAGTTTCTATGGCTGAGAAGAAGGTCACGGGTTCAAAATCAGTTGGAACACTTGTGTCATTGTTCCATTAGGAAATAGGAATAGACCAACCAGATGGAAACATCTAACTAGGAAACATAGTTAAAATTTGTCATGTCACTGTCATCAATATTAGTTAAGAAACATAAAGATACCCACATGAGATCCATGCAACATCTTAAAACACTACAGATCTTTACAGCATCAAGTAATAAGAGATTCATGAAGAATAATGGCATTAGTAAAACATATCATATGATTAACCTGATCATTGAACAGCTAATGGCATAAAATAACATGTCAACAGTGCTATATTAAGTCACTATCCATAGGATTAGAGTTGATATTTATAAAAACAAAAATCAGTTTAAGAACCTGAAAAAATTCTTATATGCTCAAGGTTATAAATAATATGATCGTCCTATTTGTGTCACTTTTGTGCTCTAAAGCACCTAAATGTTGGCCCAATAACCAAACAAACATGGTTCAATTCAAAGGAGAGAAGTCTGCACGCTATGGCATGAAGGGAAGAAAAATTCATCTTTCAATTAGGTAAATACTACTTTATTTTCTTTAATCCAAAAAAGAAGGAAAATAGAAATTTTCTCTCATCTTCCTAGTGCAAACAATGTGGTATCTATTCATTTCCATTTGATCACGAATTTCAGAGATAAGTCTTACACTCTTACTTGATTAAGTGTCCGATGCAAATGAATGGTAGAAGATTGTTCACAGTGAACACTGACAATGTCTGCACCAGCCTTGATAAAATCTGGTATCCGCTGCTCTGGTTCCACAATCATCTACAAGAATTTTCTTTCATATTAGCATTTATCAATCTCCACCAATAAAGATGACTTACCCACACAACACATTAAAAAAAATTAGATTTACTCCATGCACCAAATAGTTAAGGAACCAAAAAAAAATTACCAAATGAACATCCAATGGAAGATCTGTCACTGGACGCAATGCATCAACTACAAGAGGTCCAATAGTGATATTTGGCACAAAACGACCATCCATTACATCAACATGAATCCAATCACATCCTGCCAACTCCACTGCTTTCACCTAGGTTAAAATGAGAAAAAAAAAATTACCACCCATGGGCAACCTCTCTTTTCTTAAGAAGCTTCTAGTATAGAAGGGGAGCTGTAAAGATCATACAACAGAAAATGTGAGAGTATCATAATTATTTGATCAAAGAACAAATGAAATATATGAAATGATTTCCCATACAATTTGTCAGCATCTAAAAAACAGGGAAAGACAGCTGAAGGACCATCCTCGTCCTTTTCTTCCAATCCTCAGCCGCTCCCAGGTAACCTTGTCATTTCTGGTTTTGATACTGATGAGTGTTTAATGTCTCTTGTTCCAGATTCATTTCCCTTCCAACAAGAGTCGAAAGCCCATGACATTGCAGCCACTAAAATTGAATGCACAAGGAATCTGCAGGGGGAGGTAGGTAGGAGGGAAGCAGAGGGGGAGAGGGACAAAAATAAAAAAAAAAAAATCTGGGAGATTATTGACAAAATAATGGGGGAATATGAAAAAAAAATCATTTACAAAGAGAGGATGCACATGGGGCAAGAGAATGAAGTGGTAAGGAGGCAGGGGGAAAAAATAAAGAGGTGAGCAGGGGGAGAGAGCAAGGTAATCCCAGTTCAGATGACTCCATAGCAGAATTTGTGGGTAAGTTGGGATGTAAATTGCAGAATCCGAATGACCTTAAAGTTTTCTTACACAAAAAGGAAGGAGGAAAGTAAGATCAAGAAAAGGAAGTTAAGCGAAGTTGAGAGGCTGAAGAGAGATGTAGAGGGTGACAAGAGCTTTGTTAATGAAAGGGGAAAGGAGGAAGGGGATCAAGTAGTTTCTAAATGAAGGAAGGGTCATACGAAGAGTTTGAAATGCAATTATTAAGTTGGAATGTCAAGGGACTGGGGAGTGCAAGAAAAAAGAGCAACAATTAAAGAAGTAAGGAAGGCCAATCCAGATGTGGTATTAATTCAGGAGTCCAAACGAATGGAATTTGATAGGAGATGGGTAAGAAGTGTTTGGAGAGATAGGGGGCTTAATTGGGTGGTTGCTCCTTCTTGGGGGGCTTCTGGAAGGATAGTGACCTTGTGGAAAGAAGATGTACAGGAGGGGGTTGAGGAATTAGTAGGCAACTATTCAGTCTCTCTGAAATTTAGGCAGGTGGAGGATGGGTTTGAATGGGTGCTAACCAATGTATATGGCCCCAATGATTACAGGAAGAGAAAGAAGATGTGAGAAGAACTGGGAGATATCATAGGCTTATGGGAAGGACCATGGTGTGTGGGAGGGGATTTTAATATGATGAGGTTCTCAGAAGAAACCAATAACCCTAGGCAAAGGGTGACCACAAGCATGAGAAAATTTAATCAATTTGTGGAAGCTTTGAAGCTTAAAGAGATCCCCCTCTTGCACAATAACTTCACCTAGTCCGATCTCTAGTCGAACCCAATTTGATCTAAGTTGGATAGGTTCCTCTTCTTGACTGATTGGAAAGAACATTGGGGGAATATTAACTCCGGAACACTCCCTAGACTTACTTCCGATAATTGGCCCATAATGATTTGTAAGGAAGTTTTAAGGAGTGATGGGCCTACTCCCTTTAGATTTTAGAACATGTGGCTAAACCATCTGGGCTTTATCAAGAAGGTCAAAGAATGGTGGGAGCAATGTAACCCCCTAGTGGATTGGGAAGGAATGAAATTTCATAAGAAACTCTAATACTTGAAACTTAGGATTAAAGAGTGGAACCTATTGGAGTTTGGCAGACTAGAAGAAAGAAAACAAATCTTAGTTGAGAAGATTGAGGAGTTGGACCTAAAGGAAGAGAGAGAGGTTCTTTTGGAGAAGGGAACAAGGAGCGAAGATGGGTCTCGAGGAAACAATTGGAGGATCACTTGCACAAGGAGGAAATTAGTTGGAGGCAAAAATCCTGTTGCAAATGGTTAAAGGAGGGGGATGGCAATACTAGGTTCTTCCACACTGTGGCAAATGGGAGAAGAAGGAAGAATTTTATATCCAAGTTGAAAGTTGAGGGATCAACTATTTCACATTCGATAGAAATAGCAAGGGCCTTTATAGACCATTTCAAATCTATATTTAGAAGGCCTCTAAATAAGAGGGTGTGGTTAGAGGGATTGGAGTGGCCAGATTTAGGGTCAGATCGCATGGAGTGGTTAGAAAGAAAGTTTGAAGTTGAGGAAATAAAGGAGGCAGTGTTTTCAATGGATAGAAGAAAGGCTTTTGGTCCAGATGGGTTCACAATGGCATTCTATCAGGACTGTTGGGAAATCTTGGAGAAGGATTTAATATTAGTATTTGAAGAGTTCCATAGAGGGGGGTAATTAACCCAAGACTGAATTCCACCTTCACTGCTTTGGTACCAAAGAAGAGAGATGCCATACATCCAAAAGACTTCAAACCAATCAGCTTTGTCAATAGTCTGTACAAAATAATTGCAAAAGTGTTTTATCTCAGGATTAAGCTAGTTCTCCCCAGTGTAATTGAACCTAACCAAGGAGCCTTTGTGAAGGAAAGACATATTTCAGACCAAATCCTAATTGCAAATGAGAGTGTAGAGGCCTTAAAAAAATGAAAGAAAAAAGGAGTGGTTTGTAAACTGGATCTAGAAAAGGCTTATGACTTGGTGGATTGGTCTTTCTTGCTACAAGTGATGAGTAACTTTGGTTTTGGGGATAGATGGTGTAAATAGGTAAGGGAATGTTTGAGGAGTTGTCATTACTCAGTGTTGGTAAATGTGACGGTGGTGGATTTTTTCCCAGCATTCAGAGGGATAAGACAAGGAGATCCACTTTCTCCCTTCTTGTTCATATTGATAGCAGATGTTTTAGGGAGACTGATTCATAGAGCTGATTCAAGAAATTTTTTAGGGGGTGGAGAATAGGAAGGGAGGAGATACCACTCACACACTTGCAATTTGCAGACGATACAATATTGTTCTGTGAAGGTGGGAGTATGAATTGGATATGGAGCCTAAAACTGGCTATACAACTCTTTGAGCAAATGTCCAATCTTAAGGTGGATTTTGAGAAAAGTTGTTTAGTGGGAGTAAACATGAAGGAAAGGGAAGTTAGGGAGTGTGCAGATATTATGGGATGCACAACCTCAGATTGGCCAATGAGTTACTTGGGCTTACCCCTAGGAGACAACCCCAAGAAGGATAGCTTTTGGGACCTAGTGGTGGAGAGATTTGAGAAAAGGCTCACTTCCTAGAAGAAGAACTATCTCTCCTTATGAGGGAGGATCACACTGATTAGGGAAACCCTAACCAATCTACCTATTTACTTTTTCTCAGTGTTTAAGATTCCCTCTCAAGTAGTTAATAGGTTGGAAAAGTTGATAAGGTATTTTCTATGGGAGCCAGGAGAGGAAAGGAGGGACCATAGGGTGGTAACAAGAAGCAAGAAACAAGGAGGATTGGGGATTGGGAATATCTGGAAAAGGAATTCAGCATTATTGGGGAAGTGGTTATGGAGATTTCCTTTAGAAAGGGATAAATTGTGGGCAAAGATAGTGGCTAGCATTCATGGGATGGAGGACAATGGATGGGATACCGGAATCATGGCAAGGACTACAAGCACATCTCCTTGGAAAGCCATCCATAACCTTCCAGTTTTCTCCCAATAGACCAGGTATGATTTGAACTCAGGCAACCTTATCAAATTCTGGGAACAAACTTGGGTAGGGGATTCTCCTTTGATGATCCAGTTCCCCTCTTTGTATTGTCTCTCTGCTCTAAAGAATATGCCAATTTCATCTTTTTTAGTCCCCTCAGGTGCAACCTCTGGTTATGGGTGGAATTTGAACTTGAGAAGGGCGGTTAGGGATACAAAGTTAGAAAACACTTTGTTCCTTTTGGCTTTGCTTGAAAATGTTTTTCTGGACCCCCAAAAGGAAGATTGTAGAATTTGGACCCCCTCCCCTTCAGGCTCTTACTCTTGTGCTTCTTTCTCTAAAAACCTAACTCAGCGACCTACCTCCCTTGGCATGTCTTTCTCTGTTAAAGAGATACAGTGCAAACCTTATCCCTCCTCGGGTTGGGAGTTTTTGTTGGGAATCTTTCCTGGAAAGAATCAACACTTGTGATCTTCTCCAGAAAAAAAAAAAAAGACCCAAGACTTGTTTATCCCTGCACAGGTGTATTCTTTGTAGAGCAGATGGGGAGAATGGGTACCACTTATTAGTATCTTGTCATTATGCAAAAGCTGTTTGGGATTGGGCTTTATCCCTTTTTGGGTGTAGTTGGAACCCTCCTTTGAATGTACAGAGTGTGTTCTCTCCATCTTTCTTTAGCTGGCCAGTAAAAAGAGGAAGGATAATGTGGAGGAGTATAAGGGCATCTGTGTGTTGGTCTTTGTGGGAAGAAAGAAACTCCAGATTATTATTAGATAAGGAGAGGAATGCTGAGAACTTAACAGAGTTGATCCACATAAGGGTAGCACATTGGTTGAAATCCCTGGACATGTTTTCAAACTTTACTGTGGATGATTTGCTGAGAAGATGGAAAGAAATTGCAAGTTCTGCCTAGGGAATGCCTTAGCCCTTCTCTCTGCCCGATTGGTGAGGGTGACTCTCTTAGGGCTGAGATTTTAGCAGCCTTGGAAGGGATTCAAAGGGCAAGAGAACTGAATATTAGGAGACTGATTATTGAAGGTGATTCGGAGGTAGTGGTAAATTGGTTAAAGGAAGATAAGATAGGAATGTGGAAATACAGCAATGAGAGGAAAAAGTTAAACTGGTTGGCAAAGGATGTTGAGATAAAGTACAGCTGGGTGAAAAGAACTGCCAAATTCCTTCGCTGACGGGCTAGCTAAGCAAGGGGTGAATAGGGATTCTTTGTTTTGGGCTTATTTCTAATTCTGTACCTTTTCTTTTCCTTGTTTTGAGGGAGTTAAGATAGTTTACCTCCCTCCGCTTTTCTGTAACTTATTCTTAATTGAATTCAATAAAGATTTCTGCTATTGATCAAAAAAACCCTGATGAATTCTATAATTGATGAAAAAGCAATCTAAAGCTAACTCATTCTGCAACCTGATAACAAGGACAAACATCTAAAACTCAATTCAACTCAAAAAAGCCTTATCCCCATATGGTTCCTAAAAGTTAGTCTAAAAGGGCTGAAGGAAACAAATGCTAAAGAAGGGTAGTAAATTGTGAAAAGTATGGTGGCATGACTGATTACACAACTTACAATGTATCTTTTAAGCAGGTTCTGGAATTCAGTATAAAATCTAAATATTCTTTGCAACATCCCAAGCACCAGCGGAAAAATATAGATGAATTGTAAATAGATAATAGTCAACTTTATGCAATAGAACAAGAAACAGATCCTCGTTGAAAGTTCAAGTAGTTCTACCATTCAGCCCCTCTGAAAGCAAAGTCAGCAGAAAACCTGTTCACCCAACTTTGCAAAATTGGCAGAGAGAATAGATGGAGCAACAATTATGTCACTCTTTGAGAACTTATCAATGCGTGCTGTTGCCTTCACTGTGGTTTGAAACTTCCTCCTGTAATTGGGGAAAAAAGAAATAAATATACTGGTAACAGCACTATACTACATAGCCCACTGGACACATCAAGGAACAGATCATACATCTAACAACAAACATCATATATAATTAACTCTCCACTTAGTTCTTGAACACCCTATATGTACATAATGGAATGGTGTTTGTAACATTTTTATCAAATTACCAGCTACAAAGGAGAACTTCTACCAATCACAGAGTAATGGAGCAGTGATGCACAATTAATCTAATTGCCAAGATATTGTATGGGATTTCTCATAAAAATGACCAACCAGATCAAAACCCAGTAAAAAGTTTTCTTTTTTCAAGTTAGTACTCTTTATAATGCAAGAATTGCGACATCAACTAAAATTAAACACATCTCAGTATTTAGTCCATATTTAGAGCCCTGCTACGGTCAATAAATTAAGTTCAGAGTGGCACAAATACAAATAAGAAGGTGCAATTTGAACAACCAAAATATGCAAAAACATGATTCTTCCATTTATACACCAAGATACTACTCTCCTATGTTCGCATAGTGTTCTTCGAATTTCCGTTCGACGAAAAATTCACTGGGTGGTAAAGAAAATATAAAATTTTTGTGAACCACCCATCAATATTTGACGAATGCATGGATCATTTAATTTCTTATTTACCCCGAAATCCTAAATCCACGACAGAAGATTCAGATTTCCACTATTACAGAGAGAACCTTGTATTGATTCTTGAAATTTGTAATTCCAAAGTTCGCCACTTAGATAATTAGAATTTTCTTATATCTTCCATTAATCAGTCGGAACAGTTTAATACTGAACCGCTTAAATTTCTTTCAGCGGTTTTCATCGGAGAAAAAGAAAAGCAAAGAAGATGGATTTCAGTAATCCCACCAAAATTTCCACACCACTGAACGTCCAACACCCACCTAACCAAAACGAAGAAACTGAAAAAGGAGAAAAGAAAAGATACCTGGTCGAGGTGAGTGAGTTGGGAGGAGAAAGAGATGACTTCCGGATCTTTAGGCCAGCAGAAAAGCCACTGATTTGGGAAGTCGTCGAGCTCAACGAAACCGTAGCTGACATTTTCCTCCCTGTCTTCTTCTTTCTCCCACAAGTCGTCGAGCTCAAAGAGATGACTACCGACGTTAATGCTCTGTTACGATCACGGCACATATAACCCATGTGACTTATAAGATATTTTCAAAACCCAATATTACCCTTGTCGCATGAACCTCCACTCTCTCTTTCTCTCTCTCTCTTTCTCCATTCTTAGACCACCCTAATGAAAACCGCTCTTATCATTATCATGCGAAAACTGAAAGTACGGATTAATTATAATTCACACACACATCCTATCTTGCATTGAGAACATCTCCCAAACTTATTAATTATAATTCATCGGAGATGTTCCCAATGCATGGTGGATGTGCTTGTGAGGAGCAAATCCCATCAACTGCTTACTTACTTAGCATTGGACGCTAGTAAAAACTATAGCCGCACGTTGAAAATTGGAAACATTTTTTTGTTGTTCATTCATGGAGAAATATTCGCGATGTGTGGCTGTAATATCTTATGCACAAGAGTAGCCAATGTTATGTGGTCAGCTGATCGAACTCAAGGTGAATCAACCCCGATTTGGTTAATTCGAACCAAGTAAAAAAAAAATCGGATTGGGTCGGGTTGGATTGGCTTACTGTCTTCATTGGTGATTTGGTGTCTCTAGTCGCACCAAGGGGCCGAGGTGACTCGATAACATTTAACCCTAGTATGCCAACAGCGTGAAGAGGCCGACATGACCCAACCATAAAGGAATAGCCTTTATCTAGGCTTCATTTGGTGTGTCATTTGGTGTGTCTTTCCGTGTGGTCTTTTGGCTATTTATAAATCGAGTAGATGATGCTACATTCTTTTTCAGTTTGATTTGTAAGATTTAGCCATCAAAAGGTGGTGCATCAAAAAAACCCGATAAGTCCATTTTAGGCTGATTTTAGGAAGCTCTAAATAGAGTTTTTTTGTGTCTTTCTCACTTTATTCTCGTGTGGAAAGACACAGTAGCCAAACTAGCTTCGGGCTACTCAAATCTTCGTGCAAAAGCTCAATGCGTCTTTCGACTGTCAGAGCTACCAAAAGATCTTTCCAAAAAGACTTGTCAAACGGCCCCCTAATAAACAAGTTAATAATATTTTGGGAAAAAGAAGGTTCAGCCCAGGGTCAAAATTTGTAGGCCCAAAGTACTATTGGGGTAGGTGTCAGTTGATGCCAATTCACGGGCGGGCGTTGCTGTATAAAGTGTGAGTATTTGACATTTTAAATGTTTATAGATTTACAGTGAGATTTAGAAATCTACGATGGCTGTCCATACTTCTCCCTAATATTTTTCTACACCTTTTTAAAAGATAAAAGATGAATAAAACTTCAATATTAAAAAATTGAAAAAAAACAATATTTTGAAAATGAAAACCAATGGGTAATGTTCCAAATCGAAACCAAACCTATATACGGTTGGTTCAGTTAATCAAGGTTTTATTATAAATTAACTGAAATCGAACCAAAAAACCAAAACCAACCGGATTTTTCAATTTAGATTACCGATTTTGATTTGGCTTTTCTATATTTGATTTTTCATGGCTTTTCTATAAAGGGGAATGGAGAGTGGGAGATAAAAGGGAGGGAATGGGGGAGATGAGATTAGATGAAGAAGGTTATCCTATCTATCATCTGCCAATTGATGAAAAGGAGCTGAACCGAGCGGTCTTATCACTAGCAGGAGTAATTAATTGTCTTTTTGTTTTTATAATAATGTATATAATATAAAAGTTAAGACACTTGGACGAGTTTTTAAGATACGTATCTTTCTTTTATTAAAAATACAAGACATTTTGTAAATAATGTATACATTAAATTAAATTTACATTATAATAATTGATTTTGGATAATTATTGAATCGACATGTATTCAAATTAAATTCGAAAATTTAATCAGTACAAAATATATATTCAAATTAAACTATTTGAAATATTCAAATTCGATTCGATCAATATCGGATATCAAATTAAATTCAGATTTTCAAATACCACTAACACTCCTAACCGAGATAGGCCCAAAGGCAATCCAGATTAGGGGTGAGTGAAAAAAACGAATCGATTTAAAAAACAGATTGAAACTAAATCGAAAAATCGGTTAATCGAACTAGTCGGTTTGATTTTGGTTCAGTGATTGTAAAAAACTGAAAGTACGGATTTGATTTCGATTAACCAATATAAAAAACCGACGGTTAACCGAATCAACCGATATACATAATATTTCTATATATATTTATGTATATTATATATATTTGTATATATTATTAATTAAAAAAATGCATAATATATAAATATATATTTATAATCTATTATATATTATATATTATTTAAAATATAATATCTTATATATTTATAATTTTTTATTATATATATATGGTTTGTTGAAATGGTGGTAATAAATAGTCATATTCTTCTTTCGTTACTTCAGTACTATAACCAAATGGAACCCATGGTCATTGGATACCAATGTTGAAGGGTTGTATTATTGTCATGGGCCTCATGGGCACGGTAGTTAAGATCCACAAAAGTACAGAGTGCAGACTTCACCATAAGAATATAACCCATTTCAAAGATCAATTGGACGCTCTTATCCATTCGATTCTGTCAATCAATCAATAATCTCATTTAGGCACCATACTAGTCATCTGATCCGACAAGTCACAAATAGCTTCTCTAATAAGATCCACTCAGATCAGGCCTCGGGGGCACCCTAGGATAAGAACTATCAGCCATCCCATAGGGGAAGCGTCGACTCTGTAATCCTATTATCATTGGTAGGTACATCTCACCAGCATTCCATTTTAGTCACATAAAGGCAATGTTTTAAAAACCAACCAGGAAATAGAATCATTTTTCTCTCCGGTTTTTGGGTCAATCGCTAGGATTAGGATTGCAATTTTCCCATTGCCATTGGTACCTGGTTTCCATGACTCAATGGGGTTAGGTATGGAGTCCGGACACTGCTCTGACAGGACAGGGATGGGGAATAATCGGGATACCCAATCAGCCGGGGACAAGAGTGAAATCCCCACCCCAAACCCAAATATAATACTTGCTGTTATTTTTGTAAGTACTTATGCCTACTTGATGATGGACCACCATTAATGGATTGTTTTCCCTCCCGGTTCAAGTGCTGCTGCACTTAAAACTATTAGTGCCTTTTATGCTATTTTCTGGTTTAGCTTTCTATTTGGTGTTGTATGTTGGGCAATTTTCAATTTCTATATTTACCTTGGTGCCTTAAATCTGTTTGGGGTAGCTGTAGGTTTTGGATTGTTACTGTTGTATTGTTGGAACTTCATCATATGAAAAATAACATGCCGTTTTCCTTAAAAAAAGGTATCTGGGGAAACTTTTTAATTCAAGCTTTATTTTTTTGGGTTTATCCATCACTTTTTTGGAGTGGATAAGTGAATAAAACTCAAAAAAGAGAAAAAAAGGTGGCTGTTATGGTTTTATTGAGATTTACATTCAATTTAGATTAATTGCTAAACCAATTTAGATTAACGATCTTTTATTTCTTTTAAATAAATCTTTTTTCCTATCATATATGGGCTCCTCTGCCCTTCAAAAGCCCAGAGCAAGCTTTTAAAGAAAAGAAAGGAATTCGGGTATTCAGATCCCCAATGGGGAACCCATTTCCATTAGAGATTGGGGATGGAGGTTCCATTTTCTCCTTGACAGGGATAGGGAGTTACTTGAAAAATTCGGAACGGGGGTGGAGAGTATGCTCACTCACCCTGAAACCGTCCCATTGTCATTCCTAGAAATTATTTAAGTTAACATAATTTAACAATGGATAGGCATTTAATAGACAGAATGGTGAAACAGGATCCATGTTCAAGTTGCCGACACCATATAGTTGGGATAAGGCTTGGATGAGAGTAGAATGGTGAGAGAGCTGTATACCCAACCCCATGGCAGCACACACATGCATACAGATGCTAAAAGCAAAAATATTATTGGTAGCACCTAATCTGTTATGCTGAACAGTCAACTAGGTACATGGACTGATACTACAATTCATATCCTCCAGGTGTTGAGAAACTTAAGAAAGTGCAAGTGAATAAGCTCCTTTTTATCTGCCTTAAATTTGCTTGACTTGCCATAGAAGCTTATCAACTTGAGGAACCAGTCTTGTTACCTGGCATCTCTTTAATTCCACTGCAACAATAGAAGTGTGGCAACTTAACTCGACCACAAATCCTGTGAGAAAGAATGCAAAGTAAGAAAAAGACCAAGTTCCAATTGAAATATTTCAGAGATAAAACATATCCAGATAGTCAGGTTGAATATACATGGCACACAAGACAAAACAAGCATGCGTTATGTATAAGCTGCCAGAGGTGTCAACAAGTGTCAATGCCTCTTGCACCTGAAGCATATGCCTCAGAGGTATCAACGCTTCTGGCATACTCCTCAGGGCATTTTGGGGGCCCTTAGCCTGCGCCTCCCACACCTTTTAAAACACTGGTTACAACAAGTGAGATGGGATACACCATAAAGTGAATATATTGTTTAGCCATGCCTCTTGTAGGTACTATAAAACCTGCTAAAACAATCAAAATCAGAAAAATCAAGGGGCCCAGTTAGCTATCTGGGTTACTAGTTCATAGTTCAAGTGTCCTGGTCAATGATGGATTGACAACACAATTTACATACAGAGATTCTTACATATGCAAGACTTGGGTACAGTACCACAGGTTGATTATTGGGAAGGTCCCTAAAAAAAACTGCTCAATGGCTAGGAACTGGAGAACCTGCTTGAGCTTAAAATCAACAAAAGCAATAGTAAGTTCTCCAGGGCCAACACCCAATGGGACAAGCCAGTGTTTCATCTAAGTTAGATCAGTGGTAGTGGCCTGAGTCAAGGAGATCAGCTTATTTACTTATTTTCCAGGTGGGGGTTGGCATGGGGGATAGATTCCATTGAGAATGACATATATTACATGTTCACATTCATAGCAACACCCATTGACAAGTCACAGAAGTCTCCAAAAATATATCACATTATACATCATGCCTAGTCCTGTACCCACTATTTGCTAAGTCAATCATGTGTTGCATAAAGTTTACTCTGTTATGCTTAAAAACCGACCAAAGTTCAAATTGATTTACTGAGAATCACAAAATGCTATATAAAAAAGCGTTACAGATAGACATAAGAAATATGCCATATTTCATCATAACATTCAAGATATGTTCATTTTAACTCTATAGGCTTTACAAAAAAATGCTAACTTTAATAGTCAAAAAGTAAATTGCCTTACTTGCAGCGAATTATTACTGGTATAGGTTTCAAAGCCTTTGGTCCATTTCTTATACCTTTCTTATGAGGAGACACCTGCATGTAATCCTTGACTGTCACCTTCAGGCTTCAAAATATTTTATTATTCAAAATTTCTAAACCTCAACAACAAGCATCAAATAAGAAAAGACATGTCCAGACTCATATATACAAGTAATTGGAGAACAAAATTTACTAATCCTTGTTCAGTACATTGTTCAGGTTAATCAATATCCACTGCAAAGATCTATTCTACTATAATAACTGATGTCATTTTATTACTATGTTGCTGAAGACAGACTTTTGCAATTGTTTTTGATCAATCCTTAGGCAAGAAAATTAAATCTCAGAGTAAGAATAGCTCTTAAGTTACTTTAAAATAAATTATTTGAATAAATATAAAAAATACGGAAAACACTCAAACTGTTCATTAAGAATAAAGAAACACCAAACCTAGATCTCCCCCAAAATCTCAGTCACCACTCTTATCTAGCATCTCACCAATTTAAGCATTTTCCATATTTGGAAGAGAAAAAAGTAATCTATAAATCTTTTTGTCTCTCAAAGCCCTTCCAGACATGTGCTATAAACATGTGGATCATAATCCATAGAACGCCAAAGTTGTATAGTTGTATAAGCATGTAGTTGAACAAGTGTCCAATGGCAATCAGGGTGCTTGTACATTGTTATTTTATTATCCAGTGATTTAAAAGGCATGCCTAGGCGCTAAGGCAAGGTGCATTTTAAGGTATGCACCTTGCCCAGGCCCTAGGCATAACACTTTCGAAAGGTGAGCGCCTTGCGCTTCAGCCAAGGCATGTGCCTTTTTTATTTTTTGCGCTTTTTTGTTCTTTTGATCCTCAGCCAAGCCTCTAGAGGCAAGCCCAATGAAGTCCGTGTTAGGGTCTTAAATTCTTAATCCTTACACAAGAAAATGATTTTATAATTTTAATTGCCTTTAAGAAGATATTTTATTAGGATGAATGAATGAACAACATTAGCAAATAGGAGATTCTATTCTGCTCTAGTTCGTTCGCTCGTTGTTCATTCATTCATCCTAATAAAATATCTTCTTAAAAGGCAATTAAAATTATAAAATCATTTTTTATGTAAGGATTAAGATTTTAAGACCCTAATATAGACTTCTTTGGGCTTGCCTCAAGGGGTTTGGTACAAAGGCGGCTCATAGAATCAGGAATGCAAGATGTTTTACATCACATTAGCTATTTGAAGTAATGCAATTGAAAAGAAATAAGAGTGGATTTTACATGCTTGAAAATGTTTTATATGTTTGATTTTATTTTTTAAATTTTAATGTGAATATGCTTTACATGTTATGTTTATGTATTTTAATTTTAGATAATAGGCTTTTTAAAACATTTATTTAAAAATTTAAGTTTATAAATTTTTATTAATGTTATGTTTAATATTTTTGTCATTTTTTTTTAGTTTTTGGGATTTTTGTTTGAAAATTTTGGCTTTTTTTTTTGTATTTTTGCACCTTGCTTCGAAAAGGCACATGCCTCGCCTTGCGCCTTGAGCTTTTAAAACATTGCTATTTAGTTCCTCGTCCATCTTTTGAAATTTGATGATAAAAAGAATCTAAGTTCTAGAAACTTGATGTAGGATAGCCTTGGGATGATCAAATCTCTAAAAAATATAGGAAAATAAGGAGAAAGAGAAAATAGAGATAAAAAGATGATAATAGATGAAGACATAAAGGATACATGTACATAAAAAGTGAACTATTGGCAGTAGGGGAGAATGTAGATGCTGGGCAATTAGCAGATTGTGTGGGGTGTAAGGTAGGTAAAATGCCTACAAGATATTTGGGAATGCCTTTAGGAGAGAAATGTACTTCAAAGGAGAAATGGGAGCCAGCAGTGGAAAGAACAGACAGGAGGTTGACTTCATGGAAGGTAAGATACTTATCAAGTGGAGGAAAACTAACCTTAATTAAAAGTGTTTTGCCTTCCTTACCAAGTATTAACATGTCTCCTATCTTTGTTTCCAATTCCAGCAAGCACAGCTAAGGTAATTGAGAAGAAAATGAGAGATTCTCTCTGGAAAGGCTGGAAGGAAGAGTTCAAATTGCACCTGGTTAAGTGGAGTAAAGTCTACAAATCAAGAAGGCAGGAGGACTGGGGGTGAGGAGGCTAAGAAAATTTAATATGGCCTGTCTAAGCAAGTGGTATTGGAGATTGTATGAACAGCCTAATACATTGTGGAGAAGAATTATAATGGCAAAGTATGGTGCTAGTAAATATGAACTGGGAACCAACAAAGCCAAATTCATCATATGGGTGTGCAGGGTGGAGGGCCATTCCGAGACCTCTAAGTGAGTTCGTAAAAGGAGTCAAGTTTGTGGTGGGAAATGGTATGAGGATCAATTTTTGGCATGACATACAGTGTGGAGATCAACTCCTTAAAAAGATATTTGCCACATTGTTTGGAATTGCACAAAATAAGGATTGTTTGATAGCTGAAACATTCTCTCAGGAAGGAAATCCAATTGAGTGGTGCCTTGTTTTCACAGAAGGCATCTGAATGAGTGGGAGGTAGGACAGTGGATGGAGCTGATGCAGCAAATTTGCACCATAACACCAGATAATGTCAAGAAGAGATAAAAGAGTTTGGAGGTGGGAAAAATCAGGAATGCTTTCAGTTAGGTCTTTCTATAGCAGAATTAATGGAGATGAGATGGAAAGCTTTCCAGAGGCCGGAGTGTGGAATACTGTAGCTCCCCCCAAAGTTGCTTTTTTGATGTGGACGGCAATTTCAGGGAAATGCTTAACAGCAGATGAATTGGGAAGGAAAGCACTAAGGATGGAACCCAGCAGGTGTGTAATGCGTGGGGGAGCTTCTGGAGATTTGGATCATCTTCTTATTCATGGCAGACTAGCAAGGACTCTATGGATGAAGTTTCTGGGATTGTTCAAAGTTGAGTTTTGGTTTCCAAAAAATTTGGGAGCTTTACTATGGTGCTGGTGGCTGAAAGGCTTATCTAAAGGGGGGAAGCTTATATGGAGTGTAGGGCCTGCAACAATGATCTGGACAGAAAGAAACAGAAGGCTTCTTGAAAATAAATATAGTGAAGAAGAAAATTTGATGAAAGGATTTTGGGGTAGATTGTATTCATGGGTAGGAATACAAATATTTCAGGGATAGGCCACATAATGGGCTCTGCACAGTGCCTTGTTTTACCTTTGCTCTCTCTCTCTCTCTCTCTAAAAAAAAAACATAACTATGACACCATCTTCCTGAATCAAGTATGCAGTCACACCAAACTCCATGTGAGACCTTCAATAGAATTACATCAAAGAAAGGAAAACAGAATCCTTGAGCATTAAAACATAAAAAAGAGAAAAACACTAAAAAACAAGGGCAAAATTTCTATTGTCAAACTTATTGTTCACTTGTTCTCTTTTACTGCAAAACTATAGACGTTATAGATGGAACAACTTTTAAACTAAGTAAAACTCATTCAAAAAACTTATAACAATAACTTCTTTTTACCCATTACACATTTGACACAAATTCCAGAAAAAGATCATTACTGATCCTGTTATGTACCAAAATAAATTCTAAAAAAAAAAATTTAAATAGCTCAAAGAATCAACATCAACAGAGAAGAATAAGCACAAGGAAAGGGGGGGGGGGGATGAAGAGAGAAAGGAGAAACATTGATGACCTTTTTCTTTGGGACAGCCATGAGTTCCATGGAGGCACCAAAAGCGAATTTGGGAAGCATGATATCAAGCTTGCTTTCCAAATCTTTGTTGAATTCAGGTAAAACACATGGTGTTTCAGTTGAACTGCCAATTAGCCTCTCCAAAGGAGCAGATCGAACAGAATGAATCCACCTTCTATAGCCTAACCTAAGCCCCAAACATCCCATTGTGTTTCTGAACATATTGGTCATAAATGCCATTATTTCAGATCAATCAAAGCTCTGGATTTTATCTCCTTGAGCATTCACTGTTAAAAAAAGTAAACATAGAGGATGAGAATGATTTCAGAGGAGTAGTAGGCATATCCCATGCCTATAGTTTAACACTAGCAGGAAATGAATGCAATACTCAAAAGTATAATAAAATAAAAGGAAAGGTACCGATGATACAGAAAGCCAACAGAACTATTGTTTCAGAGGAAATTTCCAAATAGAGATGGAAAAGTTAGACGTATTAATGAGAATAGAGAGTACAAACATTAAAGCCATAAAAATCCAGAAAGAGGACAATAGAAAGCATGACAGGAAAAGAAAAAAAAATAGAAGATGAGATTTATAGGAAGTTCAGTTTAAGCAATTCCTCTCTAATTGCTCCTTATCAATTGAAGGATGATCCAACCAAACTTGAAAGTTATTAAGAGAAAAGGATATACCAAATGTTGTAGAAATCAATAAAGAGAAGGTCAATCACAAAAGTCAAAAACTATGGAGATGTTAGCTAACATGTATGTTCTTTTTTTCCAAAATAGAAGCAATTGCCATATAATCAAAATCATATTATTTTTGCTGATGTGCCAGTTGTTTTGTTTTGAAAAGCAAATCATAAATATTGAACATCCTCTATATCTAATTGATAAAACTAATAAGAGAAAAGCAAACACAACCTTGCATTACTAGATATACTCTATTTTATTCTCAGCTTCTCCTGATTTTAGGACATAATAATTCATCATCATCATTATCCGTGCCTTATCCTAATTTATATGGGGTCGGCTACATGAATCCTGTTTTGCCAATCCGTTCTATTTAAAGCCATTTTAGGCATAATAATTAAGAAACATAAAATACTAGAAAGATAATCAAGATGCAATTTGTGATGATAATTTGTATCCAAAAAATCCAGAGTTCTTGAAATAGATGAATAAGTTCAAAGAGGAAAGGAAGACTGTATATTGTGGGTCGATTTATAAAACAATAACCATGAGTCATGGATCAACCACAGTATCAGACTAGATTACAAACATTAAAGGAAAAGTCTAAAAATAGCAATCACAAATGATACCTCAACAAGAACAAAGATAGAAACCTGATTATTAATATTACCGTTAAATTATGAATAATTTTAAAAATAGGTAACATAGAGTAACAGTAGCTTTTTTCTTAATTCCGGGATAATAGTGGATCAATGCCACCGAGATCCTATCGTAATCAAATAAAATGGGGCTATACCAACCATGGAGGGGGGGATCCAGAAGCATACCGCCAGAAGGAAACTATTTTAAATGTCTTTAGAAGAACGTATTTTAAATGTAAAATGTAAAAGTTATTGTGAAAATGTAAAAGTTAAAAAGAAAGAGAAATGAACGTATTTTAAATGCCTTTAGAAGATTATGAAGGCCAAGACACATGGAATTTAGATTCTAAATTGTCGAGAATTAAATAGTAAATAGATGCAAAGGCAAAGATTGAATCATGGCGAACAATCTTGACTTGTATTAGCATCGGAACTTGAATCTTGAATACCCTTGCAAGAAAGCCAAGACGGATTACAGATAGAACTTAGACCTTTACACTCTCGAGGTTTAAAAAGTAGAAAAAGAAAAATGCATAGATAAAATTGAACCGTTGAGAATAATAAGAGATTGAATTGAACTCTGTGTTGGCGGGAACTTAAGCGCCAAACTGAGCCAGTGTCGGAATGATGATCAGAAGTCAGAACCAATCTTGACGTCGAGTGCCTTCTCAGCTGCAAGATCTCTGCGGGGTTCCGGTTGCATTGAGCATGAGAATGAGAGAGGAGGAATTAGGGTTTTCCCGCGACTGGGAACGAGGTATGTCATATGTGTTTTGTTGAGTTCTACACTCCCACGCTGCACGCTGGTTCTCGAACTCGCATACATGGACCGGGCCGCCACGTCGTTTAATGTCTTCAGCTTTCAAAATTAACGGAACTCGCCTCTTAACGGCAGCCGTTTGGGCCCTAAAATTATTATAGTCAGATTTTGAAACGTCTCTCTCTCGTCCGCAGTTATTATAGTCAGATTTTGAAACGTCTCTCTCGTCCGCAGTCCCTATCCTCCCTCGCCCTCTCACTCCCGTCCGGGGTCAGGGTTCTCTACCTTTCAACCGGCTAGTGACCAGAGCAACCGGCGACCGGCGGCAACCTTCGTCCGGATACTGGCCATGGTTCTTCTTCTTCTTCGTTTTAATCCTTGGTTTGGCCGTTGCATTCCCTGAAAACTAATGTATTCTTTTTTTTTTAATTGTTCCAGAACCGGTGGAACGGACAAGGTATCGGCCATTACGGGCGGTGATGGCATTCTTAACCATTACCGGTGAAGAAGAACAGCAAGTAAGCCCGGTAGTTCCCTTCTCTCTTCATGCTATGTCTTGCTGTTCAATATTCCATGGTCAGTTCCATCGTGCTCTGTTTTATTTTGTAAACAAATATTATGTTTTCTTGCTTCATCCTTAAATCTTAATGGCTTGTTCTTCTTAAATCAGTCCGAAAATGTTCTATGTTGAGATAAAAAAAAAGAAAACGAAGCACCGTGGAACTAAGAAACAAGCTTATGTTTTGTCATTTCAATGACAGAGCATGATGGAACTAAGATAACGTTGAATATGTATTGCTTTTGCTTCATGGAATCTCAATGGCAGGGTTCTTTTATTTGTTTGGCATTTCAATGATAGAGTTATATTATTTTATTTGTATCTTAAGAAAAAGTTTATGAGAAATTGAGAATGTACATTCTGAAGATTTGGCGTTATTTACTTGCCAATTGCGATGTGGATTTCTATACTGTAGTTGGTGAAAAACACGAATGAGCTAAAGCCATTTTTATCTGCAATTGTGGCTTAAGATTAGGACTCTCATTACTCGCCACTTTTTTCCGGTTTCTGTACCTAGAAAGCTAGAAAATAGCCATGAATATCAACTTTTACAACACATTTTTTTTTTCTTTCGAAGTTTTGGTTTTGAATGAATAACTTGCTAAATATTATAAAAAAAAGTATAGTTCAAAAGTTGAAAGACAGAAGATGTCTTTCTGGCAACGTTGTTGAGAAGAATCTTAGATTCAATTAAACCAGGGTTGTTGTATTAGGGGCTGTTGAAAGGATCGCAGGTTACCTTTGTTAGTGTGAAAACTGAAAAGAAACTCTCTCTTATTAAAAATTGAAATTGGTAATGCCAAATCTTTGAAGTGGAGGGTCCCCACCTTAAATTTTAGTAATTGAGAAAAAGTTATACTTAGTTCGTGGGACATAGAAATTTTACCTATAAATTATAATAACCAGCACACAACAAGTTGAATACAAATTAAAACTCAATCAGTTAGACCATCCAAAAGAACAAAGGGACAAAAGGAGAGTTGGGTTCAGGACTTAAGAACTTCCGAATGTAAATAAGGGGTCATTTCATTACAATTGAAATGGCTGAATTGAAGGACCTCTTGCTTTATCTTACTTTAATTTTTTGTTTTTCAACTCTCTATTATTTATAGATTATCCACAAACTTTTATTTATTTATTTATTTATTGTTTGAGGCTTAGGCCTCTCCCCTATCACACCCAACTGCCTTACCTCCTCCTTTAGCCTTTTAAACCTTGCACTCATGTGTAGGGAGGTGTCTCGCTGTCCAAAAAGCCTCTAAAAGGGTTTCCCCTTTTCCTGTGAGGGAGATTATATTTGCAGACACGAAACAGAAGAACGGTAAATCGAGAAGAAAGATGCGACCACCTTCACTCCATACCAGCTTCTTCTCTTCTCTTAAGCAGGTAAATATTAAATAGTCATATAATATCAAAACCCCATCATCAAACTATATTTATTTTTGTTACATTTTAATTACAATTTACATCTGAACAGGTTGAGAAGAGGTTGGAATCAGAAAGTTCATCGCAGGTTCATGGACACTGTTCTTCATCAACTAGAATAGGAACAAGTTGCAATTCAACTGACCCTCTTAGCTCTCCTATTTACCTCAACCACGACCAACAACCCAACAGCAGCAGCAGCTCAGCCCTCCATGACAGTGAACCTCCTCCAGAGTTTCTCTCCCATTCTCTTGACTTCCCAGTGACCCATGAAGACCCACCTCCACCAAACATGGAAAAACAAGACCAGGTCATTGGTGAGGCTGAAGACAACAAGGACGATATCGAGCAGTTGATTGAACTCCTGAGTTTGTCAGACTGCACCACAGAAAATGAAGATGAAGAAAAGGATAAGCAGAAACAGAGAACTAGTGATGGGTTTTGCTTTTGTCATGGAGGGTTTTATTCAAAGATTGCTGGGGTGAGGGGACCCAAGTGTGTGAAGGAAATGGAGAGGTTGGATGGGTGGATTAAGTACTTCTTAAGTGGTGGTGATGGAGAAAGGAAGGAGCCCTTGAGATTGGTTCACTTGCTCTTGGGTAAAGCAGCTTGTGCTGGTGAAGATGATAGTGGTTTTGGAGTGTTTGAGTTCCCACCAACTATAGAGGAATTTCTGCAGTATGATCCACCAATGACTTAGGCCAAATTGATTTTCTTTTGAACTGTTATTAGCTTGTGTATGTGAGAATGAATGGATTTTTAATCATATTAAAATCTAATCACATTATTTATGTATTTGTTCCCCAAAAAAAATCCATTACAGAAGCAGAAGCCTGTGATTGCATGGTTGAAAATTAATCTCGTCAGATTGGCAAGGCCTTGGGCCTTTTTATCTTGGGTGTAGAGGCATTCACTAGAAAATCCTTCAAAGGATTTGAGAAAAATAGGAAGGAGAGATGTAAGAAGACTATTTTGAAGGAAGGTGGAGAAGTGGAATGATGGAGAAGGTTAAGAAGTTTCCATTTTGATCTGTGTGAGAGTTGTCGTGTGATGTATTGGTCAGGTTCTTGTAGGTTGTGTGCGAGTTGTATTGGATGGTGGGATTGTTCTTTCTTTTCTCTGGTGATTTCTTATCACCTTCCTCGTGTACTTTCTTTTTGTTTTCTTAATGAAATTTCATAAAAAAAAAAATCAGATTGATTGCAATTTTTGGCATTAAGATGTCAGCAACTCTACATCACCTCTGTGATCCTCCCAATATTGTTATAAGATTTGAATGTTTTGGTCAATTACAAGTTTCAAATCCATTACAACAAAATGTATTAAACTATCATGAAGATCATTGATCCTGTACAGTTGTTGATGTGCTCTTATCTCAGTAATGGTCAAGTCCCAATCAAAGTTAGTGGATTGTAAGGATCTTATTGGTAAGTTCGTAGCTTTGAAAACATCCATAGAATGCTTTCATGAGATCATGGTCTAGGGGCTTTTATCCCTTCTTCGGAAAGAAAGTGTCATTGCTTGGATCTAATTCTACTCGCCTTGTCTTCAAAAGGGCAGACAAGACCTCATTCATGTATCTCTGATCCTCTGGTGAGAGCTAATTCTACTTGCCTTCTTCGGCAAGAAAGTGCAAGACAAGGCCAATTCAAGGAGATCGATCACTTTCTTTTGCTCCTTTTGGGCGGATATAGTGAGCTAGATCTGGGTGAGTCACTTGAAAAAGCCTTTCTGCTCCATTTTTGAGAGCCTAATCCACCAATTGATGAAGAGTAATTCACAACCCATTCTCTTCTATTGGCCCAATGGGACTTCTTTTGGTTAGGAACTCCATCACCACTTGTCCAAAGCTGAAAATGTCAACCTAAGTTGTAATTTTCCTCATGTATGCAAATTCTAGAAAAAAAAACTAAAAAAGAAAGAAACAAATAAATGAATTTTATCATTTTCAGTAGTAAAGTCTTAAGTGGAGAACATGTCATAGATGGGGCAAGAAAATGCCCAAACCATTGTCTGTTGAACATGTCATAGTGGAGAACATCATGTGATTGTTACTGATCAAAGAAAAGAACATCATGTGATTGTTCACAAGCAATTCATAGAGAACATCAAGTAAGACTGCTTTACATTGTCTGTTGAAATGGCAATTGATTTGTGTCTTAATTGAAATGGACAATTTGTTTTCACCTATTGATTTAAGATAATGTTCTTTGAAAACTCAGATAATACTTAGTTGCTTAAGATGCTCCATGGTTTTCCGAATGGACCCATTTAGCTTGTTTCCTTGGAGATTTAAGTTTTTTTTTGAAGTTAAATAAAAAGTAAACTTTATAAGTGAAAAAGGTAAGAAATCACCCAGCAAGAACAGACCCAGAATATGACAGGCCTGCCCTAACAAATAGCCCCTTAAACAGAAAAATAACCCTATATGCAAAACAAAACACCTTAAGAAACAAATCCATAACCGACTACAGATATCACAGAGATCCCTTCCACCAACCCCTAGAACAACTAAAACAAACAATAAGCTGTATATCCCAGACCCTCCAGATCCTGCCAAAAAGCACATAAGAAAAACACCCTGAACCCAAACAACTAACTGATGAAATGCTCAACTTAAGCTTTATCCATTTTCTCATCATGCCCACTGTCTAATATAGAAAACTCTTTTCTCATATGGGCTTATTTCTTTATCTTTCTTCTTCCCTTTCTTTTTTTAATCCCTCTCCAATACTCCCAGCTTCAACCTGGCAAAAACATTTGAAACTTGCCTCTTTTGATTGGTTTTCTGTCTTCTAAATCTTTCTTAATGCATTAGGGCATTTCTCCACCTTCATAGATACTTCCCTTTGCGCATTAATTCTTTCTAACTCAAATATGGCATTTTTCTCAAACAATTGATCAGTACTCGTGTCATCTCTACACTTCCCCTCCTCTATGCCTACACTTCCTTTCAAATATGAAAGGAACTTGAATCTTGAGAAAGCATTTGGAATGGTACCTGTGAATTTGTTTTGTGCTAACCGGAGAAAAGTGAGTTGTTTCAACTCAAATAATGGCTTTGGAATCTCACCTTCTAGATTATTCTCAGGCAGGGAAAATAATTGAAGTTGTGAGGAAGTTTTTCGAAGGGTAAATTACAAAGCCCCCCATACTATGGGGTCAGTGACAATTACCCCCTTGAACCTTCCTTTGGCTGCGTTTGGTTGGAGTGCAAATCTGAACGGTTGCAAATTTGCATTCTGGTTCAGATTTGCATTCATTTGGTAAGAGTTCAAAAATACGCCTATTTTTTATGCAAAAATGTGTATAGACCAAGGTTTGCATCGAAAATAGGTGAAAATATTGCTTTATAAAAAACTAAGGAAATTTTGCCACGATTTTGGTCGAAGTAAATAAGCATAGGTTTTGACTGTTTTCTCTTCAAGCATTCGATAGAGAAGAGAAAGGTTCTGCGATAGAGGTAAGAGAGATCTGGACTCTCATTTTGATTTTCTTTTCATTTTTAGGTCACTTCCCTCGTCGGAAGAGAGATCTGAACTCCAAATCTATTGATTTGCCTTTTCCTGAGAGGTATGTCTGATATTTCTTCGTCCTATGGGATTTCTTGAATCTTCCTTCATTTTCCTCTTGAATCTTGAATCTATTCGGTTCATTGAATCTTCCTTCATTTTTGGTTCCTTGGGATGTTATCTTATTATGGGTTTTCTCAGGGAATAAGCACTTAGAAAAAAAATAGCAGAGAGGTGTGTTTTCTTTGGTTTTGGCGATCCTTTTGCTGAATTTGGTGGTTTTGGTGGCTTTGGTATCCATAGGAGTCTAACCTCTAGTTTTTTTTGGGGGGAAGGACCCTTTCAGTGATCCTTTCTTTACTAGTCCATTCCAAAGCATGTTTGAATTTAGTATGATGGGACTGAGCATGTTTGGGTCAAGTTCAAGGTTTTTTGGAGACTCAGATATGCATCCAGTTGGATTCCTGGAGCATCAAGCTCCACAATCCAGTAAACCAAAGGGGCCGATTATCAAAGAGATAACATCTGAAGATGAGTCCAAAGAAGAACAAGGAGCCAAAGCGAAAGAGAAGACTGAAAACCCTAGGAAGTATTCTAGGTCAAAGGAACCGTATGTTGAGGATCCAGATGATGAATCTCAAGGTTAAGTCCTTGCTGTAATTGCATACTGAAACTATATATATATACTCTTGTAGTTGCTATTATATATACTGTTGAAGTAGAGATTCATTGTGTTTTATCTTTCAAAGAGGAAGAGCAAGCATGTTCAGTATTGGAATGACTATAACAGGGCAGATAGAGCGCATCCCCAGGCTCGTAGTTATAGCTTTCAGAGTTCCACTGTTACTTATGGAGGTGCCAATGGGGCATATTATACTTCGTCTACAACCAGAAGGACTGGCAGTGATGGGGTATGTACATCTATTTGGTTGACAGTTTGGATGATATGGGACTCTTTAAACTAAAGCCTCTCTTTTGTTGGTCAGGTGACTGTAGACGAGAACAGAGAAGCTGATACAACTACTGGTCGAGCCACACACAAGGTTTCGAGGGGACTTCATGATAAGGTATCATTTGGAGGTTCTCTAACTCAACATCTTGATTTGTTTGCTCACCATTGGTTGGACCACTGGAGTTCTTATAATGCCTAGTTGGAAATTAAGTAATATTGCATGGATGCAAACATAGGAATCAGAATCTGATGCATGTTGCATTGTCTGACTTGGCAAGATGAAAAAAGGGAAGAATCAATTGTCTATAGAAAAGTATAAGCTGATAAAATACTCCATATTCCTTGTTCTACCTCTATGAATTGTTTGCATGGATTCTCCTGACTGTATTAAGTTCTTTACACGATGCCTATCAGATATCTACCTTGATGGACACTTCTATATAACATCTTTCCTTTATAAACAATGAATTGGACAGTCCATTGTTTTTCATTTGATTATGCTGAGGCTGCATCTTGCACCTTTTCTAGTGAAGACTCTTTGTATTACCTTTGATTTGGTCTTAATAAAATTTTCTTCATCTTTCAAAAAAAAATGTTTTTGACCAAGACCAGAATTCCATAGTTCATGGGTTGATCTGTTTTTCATTTGTTTAGGATTTTCCCCCTTTCTGAGTTTGCTTTCCCATACTTGTATAGTGCTTCTTCTTGTGGTAATGTTTTACAGGTTTAGTAATATTATTTTCTTTTACAATTAAGGGGCCATTGATAATGGCTTATGACTGAAGTTGCTGAACTTAATGACTTATTGCTTTGTCTTTTGGTGGATAAAAGAATTAAATACTAAAATATCAAGGTATAATAATCTACCCAACTTCAGATTTCATCCATTTAGGATCTCATATCCTCATTCTTATTCACTAAAAGACAAAGCAATAAGCTTTTCAGTTCAGCCACTTTAGCTATTAACAAACAGACCCTTAGTGGGCTCTTTGGGGCGAACCAGGGAAAGAGGCAAACAATGTAAAAATAAAAAATTGCAGTGTAGAATTGAATGATTTGGAAGCTTAGGCTCTAGCGTGTAATTTGAGTGTGAATTGCTTTGTTTTCCCTATCTTTAATGAAACTATTGAATTACTGTTACTTGTGAAAAACTCTTTGATAAAATTGTTTAAGAACTGTTATTTGCCCCCCAAAAGCAAAGAAAAAAGAAACTTCAAGATTTCACTCTAGTGTCTAGTTTAAGTTTGTAAGACCGGCTTTCTATAATACAAAATGACAGTCAAGTTGTGCTTTATACATATATTTTCTAATGTCTACCTTGAAGAAGTTTTGCTCTTAGTTTCTTTTGGAAAAGAAAATCCATCCATTCTCATAATCATTGCACCAAGATATATTATTCATTTTTATTATATTTCTTGTGCCTTCTGAGTTCTGTTGCATCTTCAATAAAAGAAGTCATGCTGGCATAACACATTAATTACTTGAACGGAGAAGTAACATAAAAACAGTACTTTGTGGAGCATTATTTTGTATGTACTTAATTTTCATGCTCCTGACAATTTTAACGTGATGTCATATCCATGATCGCAATTGTTGGGTTGCATAGGTTGGAGGAACTTGCATAAGAATTGGGGGAATCGCAAAAGGTTCTGGCATGATCCACCCAAATATGGCTACCATGCTTGGTGTATGTCTTGTTCAATGAACTCTAATAATCTCAGAAAGTTCACATTGAAAATTGAGATTTACAAATGTCAATGAATTATAACTTCTGCTCCAGGTGATGTTTTCAGGTGTTTTTAGAAGTGCAGAAGGGATGTTTAGCAACCTTGAACACGTTTTCATGTTTTCAGGTTAATCATTAGTCTTTCAACAGAAGAACCATAAGAAGCTGAGCCTACTCTTGCGTTCAAGAATGCACTCAACAAGAGATTTTCTAGATTCTGTAATTTCAAAAAGAAGTCTTTAACAAAAGGTTTTTTTGTTATTTTTTATATTTATTTAATGGTCTATTATTTTTTATATTTGTTTAATGGTGGGAGTAGCTAGAACACCATTTGGTAGCAAGGAACAATTGTATTTGCATTGATGAAATTTGCATCTTCCAAAACAAATGAATTGAATGCAAAGTGGATGTGTAAATCTTGAACCACTTTGCACTCACATGAACCAAACATTTTTGTTTTGCACTCTACAAATATGTAGAGTGCAAAATGTAAAATTCAAATACATATAAAAATAATACAAAATAGGGATTCTAGCAAAATAAGGGCAACTTTTTGCCCTTAATATCAATAAAAAATAATATTTTTACATAATAATCAAAATGGGGTAATTTTTATTAGAAAAATATCAAAAAAGGGCAGTCGCTTGTCTTCCCCCTCTGCCTCTGTATTCACTCGCTTCGACGGTGTAGGAGGGGGGGCAGAGGAGGCATTCTCATAGATTGCTCTGCCTCTGTATCCATCTCTGAAGAACTACACATCTCAACTTCCATTAACGTTGAAATGGAAATACTCATCCATCAAGGCTATACCCCACTCTATCTTGCGCACCTGAAGAAGAAACCCATAATACATCGGTTGATGTGAACCCAACAGAACTACCGACGGAGGAAGTACCGGTGTACACCGTCTTCTCGATTGGATTCACTGCAGTTCCTACAGCGACAAGTACCAGCGTACTACGTTGTCTGCATCCGAAGCACAAATTTGTAAACTATAGGCCATCACCGTGAGGAGGTTCGTGAATCTGAAGTTTCTGATCATCTTTCTCTGCATTTGCTACACGATTGTCGAGGAAGAGAATTTACACAGTTTTAGTTGATAGGGTGGTAGACCATCATTGGAGGACTTAACACAGGTAGATGAAGATGAAGAACAATGACATTGCCTTTATTTGATATTTTCCCAAAATAAATACCTCGTTTTGGTTCTTATATAAAAATAGTATTTTTTATTGATATTAAGGGCAAAAAGTTGCCCTTATCTACTATTATCCCAATAAAATACAAGGTTTTACACTCTACACATTTGTATTTGTACTCCTTCCAGACTAAGTCTGTGAAAAAGATCCCCTCTACAATGGAGTCAATGACAATTACCCCATGAACTTTCATTTGTGACAAATACCCCTCCATTAGAATTCCATCAATTAAACTTCAAAAAATATCCTCACTCAACAGCTTAAAAATTTTAAATCTCCAAACTACCATTTTCTTATTTATTTGAACAATTTTATGATTCGATTGGTTTTTTAAATACAATATTGAAGTCCTCTTGCTTACTCTATTAGATCCTTGCAAATTTCTGGTTGGATTCAATATATACAAGGTTTCGTTTGGTTTTTCTTAATTTATTGGATAAATGAGTGGGCGATTTTTATATTTTAAGATGAAGAAAGACATTCATGTTAGTGAAAATGAAACAAAAATTTAAATAAACTTGTTTTTCTATGTCAGTGAAATGATTATTTAATTGGTTTCATTTGAAGATAATGGAGGTATTTTTTGTCAATTAGGGTTTAAGATAATAAAGTGAGGAAAAGAAAACAAAATCACTTAAGTATTTTGTTAAGTTAACATAGTCTGTCATTTGACTTAATAGCTAGGGGGTATTTATGACAAAATAAAAGTTCTGGGTTTTTTTTATTGCAAATGAAAGTTGAGGGGTAATTGTCACTAACCCCATAGTACAGGGTGGTTTTATTGAAAATGAAAATTCAGGGAATACAAGGTCTTTGTATTGTTTCTAACATTGTACACATGATGAGTCTCACCACGTGAGTTCTAGTCTCGTAATGAGATGTGCGGACACGGATCATATTAGAAGTGCATGGGGACAGTATTTGTTGTGAGCAGATCCAACTCATTTATTGGAGGGTCCATGTATCCTATGGATAATAGCATAGAAGCACAGGAGATGTTCCCCATTTACTGCAATGTCATGTGGAGAGTATTTTGATATAGGATTAAGTGAAAGTTTTAGCTGTTCAATAGGGTGCGGAATCAATGATAACATCCCCGCGGTATATTGAGAATATCTTCCAACGATAACATCATCTATTTTGGTATTATGGGTGGCGGAGATGTGCTATGCGGTGTTGTGCGGCGTCCGCGTGTGGGGAGGAGATGTGATCCACGAGTTGTTCCCGCATCTCTGCCCACGTGACATTAGAGATGCGCATTTGGAATATCTCTTGTCATTCAAGGGAAGATGATGGCGGTGGTGCTTTGTTGGTAAGGATGTGGGAACGATTTGTAGGTAGCATATCCTGAGCGCTCTAGTGGTAGACCGGTAGTGGGTCCATAATTCCATTTACGCGGTATTCGTGAGCAGCGAGAAGGAGCCGACAATTCAATGACACGGTAATTCAAGTCATTCATAGGGCGCAAGTATTTTTGTTTTTATATATGGATGGGTAATACAGATTTATTCATCATTGTCCTTGAAACCTACAATTTTAATCATTCGAAAGAAGATCCTGGTCCAGTGGTTTCTCGATTGAGGTTTACCTTTTAGGTTCTGGTCCTCAGGCATTCCATCAAGCTCAAGCGACCAACGAACCAAACCATCTGGTAAATGTTTAATGGTTTTATCTCATCAACAAGTCAGTCAATAGCTCACTGCAACACTTGACTCCATAGTCCATATCTTTGCGTTGCAGGAGCTTCAAAATCCTTACAGTAGAGCTTCGTCCCGGAAATCTAAGCAAGTAAAGCTCCTTCTCCGACAACCGAGAATCTTTGTTACAAAGTTCTCGGCCAGCTTATTAATTCGCCGTTTTACTTGAACTTATCCCTCGCATTCTTCACAGTTTATTTTTTTGAAAGATTTTATTTTTTATTTACTCGCCAACTGTTTGAGAATCATAGTCGTGGTTCCTCTGCAAGATCAGATCCAAGAAGTCTCCTTTTTCTCTGTGGGAAATGAGTAGGAATTCGTGATGCCCACTTGAGAATTTGATGGATATGAAGAGGTTCAGGACGCAAGTATATTCGTCAAAGCTCACAGATCCGGCAAATGCCATTGTTTCCCGAGTTCCGGAGAGGAAGATTGGGTTCAATATGATGAAGTTGATGGGGATCTTGGCTGCAGGTTTGATGGTTTCGTCAGTTTTTTTTACAGCCTCCGTCATTTATCGAGACCTAGCGTCGGATCGAGTTCGGGGATTTGCAGAGGCAAGGGTTTTTGAAGTAAAAACTGAAGAAGGTACTTATTTCTGTTTATTTAAAAACTAAATAATAAATAATGGCTTTTCCGTATCTATTACAATTCTAAGGTCAACTATGAATTGCTGATTTCTAGTATAGTAGTACTTATCTCTTTGCTTACCTTTTAAATGGGATTAACTTTGCCTTCCCATTCTTGGGTGGAATTTCTATGTCAAGATGGTGCTCAGTTGGTCATTTGGGCTCCTTTCGTTTGCAGTGCATTTCATTTGCACTAATATAATTGCATGTCAGAATTATGAAACAAATATATAATTGCATCAGTGCAAACTAGACAAGTATAAATTCTGATTCACTCTTGCTTTGTGTTTTTTGCTTTAGATTTTATTTTACTTCATTTACACTGCCAACAAAGAAAGTGAAATTTGAAACAAAAAAAAAAAAATCAAAATTGCATTCAATTCAGCTGCATTCCCACACTTGTGCACCAGTGCAAATGAAACTGCATTGCAAAAACTAAGCCTTAAGGTCTTGCCTTTAACCACCAATCTTCTGCTTCTTCTTCTTTCTTTTTTTATTTCATTGCCTGGTATTTCATTGTCTCTCTGTCTGTCTGTTTCGTATTAAGACAAGATGGAAGAGCTATTTATATTGGTTATTTTAATATAGTTGTATAGTGTAAATGTTCGAACTCTAGTTTTATAGATGACAAACTAAATAAACCCAGTTGATGAGTGTTCTTGGAGCCACTCTCTCTCAAGTAACCATTCAACCTAAAAGCTTAAGCTGTCATGTGGGGTTCCTGAATAGGTTTTTATTTCTCTAACACACTCTCTTGTGTAAAAGCTGATCGGGCTTGAAGTGTGGATAACAGGCCCACCCATACCTTATGCTGAAATTTAATTAATTATAATGGGATGACTAAGATTGAACACTGGACCATTTTGTCAAACAGGCTCCTATACCATTTCAAGGAGCCATTCAACCTAAAATCTTAAGCTGTTAGATGAGGTACTTGAATAGCTTTTTATTCTCTAATAGAAACTGAACTTTACATGCTTTTCTACCATCTAAGGGGATGTGTGCTAATGTGAATGGTTTTGTTTTTCAAACAACTGCTACATTATTAGGAAAAATAGTAATATGATTTTGCTGAGGCTGCAGTTGTTTTATTTTTTATTTTTTGGTTTTGAAAAACAAAATTATACATACATTGGCAAACACCTTCTAAACTGTTCAGTTTCATATTGTACTATTAGCTTTTTAAGCTATGCTATTTTCCATAGATGTAATATAGTTCAAAACATTGTGCTACTCATTCAATCTGTTTATTTAGCTAATGTCTTCCCAATGGGATCAGAATCTTTCAGACAACAACAACAAATGAAAAACACTTCAAATGGATTAGCTTTCAAGTTTAGAATTTCCTGTCATTATTTTGACATTTGAACCTCAATATTCCATTTACAGATTTTGACATAAAATAGACTATTCTACTGACTGGATGGTATGATTTGGAGCTTCTTCTCGTCAGACCACAGTAGAACATAATTTACAGATGACATGTATTTCCACAGCCTTCATTTATTCTCCAGATCTATGTATATATAACAACTCATACGGTTTTATCAATAAGAAAACCATATATATGTTTTCCCTTAGTGCTGGCTAAATTAGATGTGGTATCATACTATCATTATATGATATTACCTGTACCTAACATGTTATGATATAAAATTTTTGAATTATGACTGAAAGTAAAGTCAGACGAGGTAACTGTGATTTCCAAATAAGAATATAAGATGCATTGACTAGTTTATTATTGCCTTTGTTCTTTTGTTGTTTCTAGTCATTCAAACACCAATTTTAGATGTAACATGACTAAACAATTTCATTTCAATTTTTTGTTGCTTGGTCCATTTGATTTTATGGTATTCCCTCTCTCATTTAGATTGCAAAATTGTTCCACCCTTCCCCCTGAAAAAAAGTTGCCAATTCAGGTTTAGAAGATATTATATCTCATGCTGTTGAGGCACCTAAAGATAAATTACTTGGTGGTCTCCTAGCTGATGAGTTCGATGAAGGATCTTGTCTAAGCAGGTTCCAGTCAGTCTTATTTCGCAAGGCAGCACCACACAAACCTTCCTCGTACCTTGTGTCTAGGTTGCGAAGGTATGAATCTCTGCATAGACGTTGTGGAGCCTATACAGAGTCCTACAACAGGACATTGGAGCAGCTCAAGTCTGGTCAGAGCACTGGGACCACAGATTGTAATTATGTGGTATGGATATCATTTAGTGGTTTAGGAAACAGGATACTAACATTGGCTTCAGCATTCTTGTATGCTCTCCTCACAAATAGGGTCCTACTTGTTGACCGTGGGACTGACATGACTGATCTATTCTGTGAACCATTTCCAGGGGCATCCTGGCTACTCCCTTTGGAATTCCCCCTTAATCAGTTCAGCAGTTTCAATCAAGAACACCCTCACTGCTATGGTAATATGCTGAAGAACAATGTCATAAACAGTTCAACAGGGTCAGTACCTCCTTTTCTATATCTTCATCTTGTCCATGATTACAATGATCATGATAAGCTTTTCTTCTGTGACCAAGATCAATCTCTTTTTCAAAAAGTACCTTGGCTGATCATGAAAACTGATAACTACTTCGTCCCATCTCTCTTCTTGGTCCCATCCTTCGAGCAAGAACTAAGTAACCTCTTCCCCAACAAAGAAACAGTTTTTCACCACTTGGGTCGCTATCTTTTCCATCCCTCAAATGCAGTATGGGGGTTGATTACAAGGTATTATCAAGCTTACTTGTCTAAAGCAGATGAAAGGGTGGGAATCCAGATTAGAGTCTTTGATACTGATACTGGCCCATTCCAGCATGTGTTAGATCAGATACTATCTTGTTCCCTGAGGGAGAAGGTGTTGCCAGAAGTTGATGTACAGAAACCCATCATCAGACCATCAGGAAACCAAAGGTCAATTGCCATCCTGATGACATCTTTAAGCTCCGGGTACTTTGAAAAGGTAAGGAACATGTATTGGGAGCACCCTACTGTGACTGGGGAGGTGGTCAGCGTCTACCAACCAAGCCATGAAGAGTATCAACAGGCTGAGAAGCAGATGCACAATAGGAAAGCATGGGCTGAAATGTATCTTCTGAGCTTGACTGATGTCTTGGTCACAAGCTCTTGGTCAACCTTTGGTTATGTGGCTCAGGGTCTGGGAGGCTTGAAGCCATGGATCCTATACAAGCCTGAAAATCGGACTGCCCCCGATCCACCTTGTCATCGAGCAATGTCAATGGAGCCTTGCTTCCATGCACCACCTTTTTATGACTGCAAAGCAAAGAGTGGGGTAGATACAGGTGCACTTGTTCCTCATGTAAGGCATTGCGAGGATATGAGCTGGGGACTTAAGCTGTTTGATCTTGACCAGTTCTAGTTGCTTGTATTTGTTATCTGATCAGTATTGTCATTATAACTTTCAGTTTTGGGTAGAGTAGAAAATCAATAAATTTTTTGTATATTCTTATATATTTTGTTGCAGGCTTCTGTTTTGCATCCAACAGCAGCAGCTAACTATCATTTATGCGGAGGATACCAGGATAACTTAAAATGACGAAATAAACGATCCATACCTAGAATTTATGGTTGACCAAATAGGTGTTCGATACCATGGTGTTTTAAGTGTCAATATTTGCACCTGAATTGTAGCATGAAAATCTGGAAAGCAAGGTATTTTGGCATATAACATTAACATAATGCTTAATTTTTGAGTTTAATCAAGTTCGGATCTCCTACCCAGTACCCACAAAGACATTACAAACATGCACAAATATCTCCCTTGTCATTCATTCATAGGAAGATGTTCTCAATGCATAGCCCTACAAAGGTGATGGGTGTACTTTTCTCAATCACCACACTTTGTAAGGATTTCTTTTACAATGAAAACCAATTTAGGGAAAACTCATTTTCCAATACAATACTTGAGAAATGCTTGGACTGCTGGACATGCCTTTTCAATTTTCATGGGTTTCACTTTCACTTGTATGTAAATCCAAGAATTGCACAATCTCATTGTTTAGTAGAGGCAGCATTCTTCTTCACAGGTGACCCTAAAGACCTAACAGTTGCCTTGTCATTTTCCACTCTGTTTCTCTTCAATGATAGCTCAAAGGTCTATTTCGCATTTAACATTCTTCTATTTGTGCCCTTCATGCCTCTTATCATCACGGAGAAGAGGTAAAGACTAAAGAAGCGTTTGGCATTTTTTTCAATGGCGTTTTAAACGACTATTTCAGTAATTTAATGTTATTTTCATGGCCTATAAAAATAAGAATTATACATGCAATGTTGTTATCCATACGGTGATACTGATACAGGTTTATGCTGGTCAAATCCCTAATACCCAGCAGAACAATTAGTCAATTACTTCTTTTCCTTTTCCTTCCTTTCTCTAATTTTCACTTTTTTTTTCCAGCATTCGCTTTCCCTCTCCTTGAATTAAGCTAAGACAGTGGTTAATAAGTTGGGGAAACGGGAAAGTTTTTCTGTCCTCACACTGGAATTTGAAATTTATTGTAAATATGTATTTTGATGATCTTACTTCCACTTTGTATTGGGATAAGTTCATGATTCATCTGGGTTCAATCGAGTCCATTCAAAGTTTGGAACATAAGAGGCTAAGAGCAGAAAGAAAAGTACATAAGGAAAATGTTTGACTGTTTGGGCATCATCCATCATAAAGCGCCGGATTTGGCACCATATTCGTTTCTTTGTCGTTCTATTCTATTATCTTTTCCTTCTTTCTTAGGCCGAAAGGCGAAACTGAAAAGCCCTCCTTTTTTTTTATGCATTTTATTTCACCCGTTTGCTTCTTTCGAAACCCTCTAACCTCCAAACAGCGATACTGTACACTCATTCGTTTCTTGTTCTATTCTATTATCTTTTCCTTCTTTCTTTCTTTATTAAAGCCGAAAGCCGACTCATACGAGTTACATCCTTTTTTTTTTGGTTTGGAATTTTGGAATTTAATTTTGATTTCCTTCACTCGGGCGATGGACACAACATCTGCAGCGGCAACAGCAGCAACGTTCAAAATCGTCAGGGTCCTTGCTTCTTCTACCACCCGCAGAACAGCGAAGCCAACAACTTTGATTTCTCCAGGGGCCTCCACCAGGCCAGGTATGCTCGCTCTCTGTACCTGCGGCATCACCGGCACTGGTACTGTGTTTCTTCGCCAGAAGTGCCCAAGTCCTATACCTAGAAATGGTTTTCCCTATCTCACTCGTTGCTCAAGAAAACTAGACATTGGCAATGATAACACAAATGACAGGAACCCAACTATCGATACAAGTTCCACTTCAACTACCCAACAACCCTCAACCCCCACACAGATCCAAACACCTACTTCCTCTTCATCCTCTACTGGGTTGGTGTTTGATTTGGGTTCTAACAGCTGCTGGGACAGCCGCGAGGTTGGATCTCTTGTCTTGAAAAGATATCTCAGTGACGATGCAGAGCGGTGGTATATGTGGTACCATGGGAGCTCGGATGATAACCCCACCTCCGGTTCTATTGGGTTGGCAGTATCGGGCAATGGTATTCATTGGGAGAGAGGTACGGGGCATGTTCGATCGAGCACCGACGCAGGGATGGTAATGAACTGCAGCAACGATTGGTGGGCCTTTGACACTGCGTGCATCAGACCTTCCGAAGTTGTGATCATGTCCAGTACAAAAGTCAGAGGATCAAATGCTGTCTACTGGCTCTATTACACTGGATTTAATTCTGAGAAGGTGGACTTTTCTGTCGCTCCGGGAATCACTGTAGAAAACCCAGAAAGAGTCTACAAAAATGACAACGAAGATACCCAAGGCAGCATTCTCAAGTCATTGCCAGGCCTAGCAATCAGTCAAGATGGCCGTCACTGGGCTCGGATTGAAGGGGAACACCACAGTGGTGCTCTTTTTGACGTTGGATCTGGTGTGGAGTGGGATTCTCTTTTTGTTGCCACACCTCGGGTTGTTTTTCACAGCAATGGTGATCTAAGAATGTATTATCACTCGTTTGATGCGGGATGTGGACATTTTGCAGTAGGCATTGCGAGGTCGAGGGATGGGATTAGGTGGGTGAAATTGGGGAAGATCATGGGAGGAGGATTGGATGGGTCTTTTGATGAGTGTGGTGTCATAAATGCACATGTTGTACGAAACCGGAGGGATGGGGGATATCTGATGGCATATGAAGGAATTGCTGCAGATGGGCAGAGGAGTATTGGTTTGGCAGTGTCTCCAGATGGATTGAAGGATTGGAGGAGGTGTGGAGAGGATGCCGTTCTGAAGCCATCCGCTGATGAAGATGGATGGGATAACAAAGGGGTTGGATCCCCATGTCTGGTGCAGCTGGAGGGCAGCCCTGATGAGTGGAGGTTGTATTACAGAGGTGTTGGGAAAGGGGGGAGAACAGGAATAGGTATGGCGGTTTCTGATGGCAGTGAAGCTAGAAATTTTAAAAGATGGACAGGATTTCATGTGTAAGCCATATTAGTTGAAGATTTTGTTTTTTTTTCTCTATATAAAACTTAAAACAGAAATTGTTAAATTGGTTTAACCAAAATTAGTTAACTGCTTACACAATTGGTTGTCTTGCTTATTAAGTGGCTATTTGTAATTGCACATTTTTTAGCTTCCTGAAACTTGTACACCCCACAAGTTCATATATAAACAAATTGATGAACTTCAGCTTTGAACTTTGGTTTGAGGTATCCTTCTGGTGAACTATGATTTGAGCCTCTCATTTGAACAGAATTGGTTACACTGAGTCAAGCTGATATGCATCTTGTTGCTCTACAATGGTCATTGAGGGAGGTGGTCTGTCATGTTTTAACTGTCTTGTCCTATTTATCTGATTAAGTCTAACCTTTTTTCCTGAAGGCTCAGTTTGGAAGGAGTACAAATGCAAATACATACAAAATATAAGGTTTTGCATCTACATATTTGCATTTGTACTCCTTCCAAACTGAGCCGAAAGAGCATCAAAACCCATAATTTCATTAATAATGATATGATGGTAAACAAACATGTAGAATACCCATTAATTTCTCTCATTAGACTTTGATACAAACATTGTTCTCAGACCTTCAAGGTTGTTAATGGTAGCAAGTCAATAACACCCTGAGTACATAGGCATATAATTATTTTTGCACTTATTTACTATTGAAGCTGGTTACATATAAGAAGGATGCTCCTTAGGCTTGCATGAATAACATTCTGTTGTTGGATTTCCCTAGGTTTTTGAGACTAGTAGAAAAAGGAGAAGAAGCAATAAGGAAAGGAATGTGTTTTGAGACTAGCAGTACAAACTTGCAGATGCACATATAAAAAAATTCTGATGTCATCACTGCTAGAAACCGGAAAACCTAAATTCTTTTCCTTGGTTCTTTTCTCTTACTGGTCTATGGAACGTAGACACCTTGTATGTAATAATATAGACAATCAAAATATCCAATTTCTGCATTTATTACAACAAATACTGTATTAAGTGCACATCTAACGTATGGTGACAGGGGTAAGAGGGGCCAGCATGTTGCCCACTCAAAATTTCTAAGAAATGCAGCTAAGACTTGAAGTACAGTGAAAATTTGAGGGAAAACAAAAACTGTCATAGTGATTTTATTAATCATATATGGTTGGAGTAAAAGAATTAGTTTTCCACTGTAGGTTAACACGATAACAAGTTCCCTGATGGCTGAATTTCACTTTGAAGTAGCTGTGGTTGAGACTGGTGCGAACTAGTGGATCTTTATAACAAGAAGCCAGGTAAGAGACCAGGAGGCCCAGTTAATCAGAAACAATGCTGATTGCTGAATATGGAGTTATGGACTAGTCAGATGACAAAACCTAAATATATAATTAGGTATAGAAACTGTAACTGCAATTCTGATTTCAAATGCAAACTCATAGTTTGTAGAAATCAAATTTAATAGCAAGGTCTATACCAGACTTTTAGACATTTCCAGAGGCAAGAGGCTTGGCTCATATAGATAGGGGGCTGAAAGCTGAATTTTGTTAGGTTCCTTGGTCTGCCTAGTCTCTTGCAGAATAATTAGCTAATGAAGGGGTAAACAACTGATGTGGGGGTGGACATGCTTCAAATTAAAATTCTGTTTACTTTGGGTATGGTAGGGACAAGCCTGAATGCCCAGGGTTCCCACAAGAACCCATCAACATTGATGAACTTCGGGGGTGTTTTGTAGTGCGGATGAGAAATTGGTGGGTGTGGACTGTTCCACACTCCACACCACACCTTGTGGCATGGACTAATCCACACCACACTACACCACAATCCACAATTGTTCTGAATTGTGGATGGATTGTGTGGACAAGACCAGTTCACACCCATGGTGATGTTATGTAGGCGTGGTGTAATTTTTTGATTCCACGTCTCATATACATTTTATGGGAGATCAATACAGTCGATTATAAATGTCTACTTTTTGCATTTTAAATGGTAAATAAATTCAAAAAAGACATCAATATATATGTAAAAATTGCATTTTTTAAATAATTAAAACAATATTATTTTAAATATTAAAAAATAAAAAATTAATATTTTAAATATTATTTTATTGATAAAAATATTAAAAACGTTAATGTTTAAATAATGAAAAAAGAGTTGAGAAGGAGAACCATTGGACTTGTGCTAGAATTAACATTAAAAATTATTATTTTATTGATAAAATATAAAAAATTATTAAAAGATTAAATAAAATGAGAGTAATTGGACCAATGTAACATAGGTGCATTACATTGAAACCTTTCCACAAATTGTCCATCATCAAAAAAATACTATAGATGATAAATTGGGGTGTGGTCCATTTTTGTTTACGCTATTTTGTGGACAGAAACCATCCACACATAGCAGAACACCATATCTTACCGTGGATAGGACCAAAACGGTCCCATCCACGACATTTACTCACTACCGAATGCCACCTACATTGCTGACTCACAAAGAGGAGAGGGGAGGTACTCAGTTCTACACTCTACACCTTCTACAAGTTGAGGCTGGAGGAGCTGTCAATGATCCCCCATCCTCTCTGATCATGATCATTGAATCCGTTTAAGAAATAAGACAACCTCTGAACTTTGTGTATTGTAAATTCAAGTATCCCAAGTCCACTCTAAATGTGACAGGCTTGATGATTATCCATAATCCATTAATGAATGTCCTTGCATCTCCCCCTTTGACCCATTCCAATACACCATTTGCTCCAGAGAATAAAAGCTCATGCACTTCACGGCGTTTTTGAGCATTGTATTTTGCTTCTGCTGAAGCTTCACCAGCAGCAAGTCTTACTGTCTTACTCCCTTCCGCAATCCACATCAAGTCTGTAGACTGTAGGTGAGTCCCGACTCCCCAAACGCACTTGGGCTTGGGCTACACTCAGGGGATAACTTACGAGACATAACATAGTTCACAGGCTTGGGCCTGGTTACTACATTATTTTTAGATCTCGACGTGGTTGGGTCATGGATGGGCTGATCCAAAAGAAATGGACTGCAAGTTAAAGGCCATGTGTTTATTGGGCCTGGGTTTAAATAAATGTCACAGATGGTCGGAGTTTTTGTAGAAAACTTGTTAGGTCCGGCACAAGGCACGTCTGCAGGGCTTCGATGATAGATCGATCAGTCCATGGCCCGATGGCCGGCTTCATCTACCGTCCTTTTTCTTTCACTGATGTTGGAACTTGGAAGGACAATTAGTACTTCATTATATGTTTTTTTGTTCACCTATTAAAAATTTTGGGCTTCGAATCCCAATTGTTGATCCTACACCAACTGCGACTTTGGGACTTAGGCTGTGTTTGGTTTGATGGGAAACAAGAAAACAGCAGAAATTTGAGGGAAAGTTCACAATGATTTTCATAAAATTTCTTAACAAGTTCCAAGAGTAAGGTTTTAAAAACCGGATTGAACATGGAACTGTTTTGGGTACCCGTTCCTGAGTTAAAACGGTCAGATAATCCGGTTTAAACAGACAACCTGTTCTGATTTAAAAAAAAATTAAATAAAAGGCCAAAAACCATTGTATAGGTCAATGGTTCGACCACCCAGATCAGCGAATCACTGACCAAATCAACGGTTTTTAGCCTAATAAAAGTTTAGGGTGAAACAGAACCAATTGCCTGGCCACTTCCCTGGTCAACCTGTCCGGTGCAGTTTTCAGAACCATGCATTTGAGCATACAGCCACACATTCTTCGAGAGCATGAAAATCCAGCACCACATTAGGAACATCTCTCATGTGTGCGGTTGGATGCTGCTTACACAGTTTTAAGAGATCCGAGCTTATTTTGCTCAACTTTCTGTTTCTCTCTTAATTTTCTATCAAACCAAACATAAATTGAAAAGAACACTTATTCTCTCAAGCATTTCTTGAGAACGTTTGTACTTAAAACGCTTTCTCTCATGAGTCATGTCAATCCAAGAGGAAGATGGAGAACTTTTCCGATCAATCCACCAAATAGCATAATTGAGGGCTCTTGAGCATCTTGTCATGCTTGCAGTGCTCATTAAAGATTGTCAAATATTTGAAGCTGCAACACCTTACACCCAACACCAATACCGAATAACGATTCTGCTTTATCATTCAAGAAAAATATTTCCAGTACTCAAATTGAACCATTGAAGTACCTCCTTCAAAAAGGATCCATATTTCAACGTACAGCTACCCAGTTCTCTCTCTCTGTGTTTTGTAGAGCGAGGAAGAAATCTATACACTTTGACACTTACCCCACCAAAAATACAAAACTGTACTTCATTGGCATAAAATCAATGGTACAATTTGCCAGTCCAGAAGGACAAATATAGAACAAAACAATTAGAGGAGGACAAAGTTGACTATTAAAACCATGGAAAGGATAAAATTGAGAATAAAGTTTAGTGGTTCGGGCCTTGGCTTCCAGTAGGCCTGAGCTAGGGGTGATCATGGGTTGGGTTAGGTTGGGCTTTGCACTTATGATAAGGGTTATCGTTTAGGCCCGGGCCCAATTTAGGGTTCTGGGCCTGAAACATAAGCCCTAATCCAGGTCTGTACGAGCCTAGGCTGGGCCAGGTCTGATTCCAGGCCAATGTCATTCATATATAAAACATTACATATTTATATATTAAATGACATAGCATGCATATAAACTTATTTTATACATTATATAATATAAAATATTACATATAATATAAATTATACATGTCATGTTATAATATTTATATATAAAATACATAATATAATACAAAATAACATGTATACATATGTATACATTATACATAAAATATACAAATTTAAATATATACGAGCCGGACTGGATTAAAATGATCACCCCTAACCTGAGCCCATGTTATGGTCTCTTTTGGGTTGGATGAGAAGGTCAAACTAAATGGAATAAGTGAAATGAGAATGTTTGAAACATTCTTCTAATAAACCATTCTTGAGTTTGTTCACCCAACCTTCTGTACGAAACCCGATTTCCCCCCATCCTTGTCTTTCTTGTAATTTCTTTTCACTTTATTGTTAAATATTTTCATCATGAGAAGGGATGAAAATGTAGACCAAAATTTTCAATCTGAAAAATTAAAAAAAAAAACCATTTAGCCCATTTTTTTTACAGAGAAAGAAACCCAGCCACAAGAAAACTGCAATGTCCCCATCCATTCATTACATAGTAATTATCTCGGGAGACTCTCACTTAGCTGGT